ACGCCACCCAACACGACTGCCTCCTCGTCGATATCGGCCTCATCGTCGCGCGCCAGCAGTGGCGGCAACAAGAAACAACAGCTCCAGCTACAGCCTGCCCAGTGCCAGACGCAGTCTGCCCATCATCATCATCACAATACCCCACATAATGAGCACAACAAGTTCTAGACTGTAGAGGCCCTGGACCCGCATCCACCTAGATGTAGAGAATTTTTGATAATTTTTTGATATAGCCAAAGTTAAAATCTAGAGTGCAGTGCCACCTTTGGATGCTGCTATTAGTCGTAGGATTGTTGTAGTTCGGATATAGCGGAGTTTCAGAAAATAGATCGTAAACGTGTAAACGATTTTCAAATGATTGTGCCTTGGTTCCTCGACGGTTTTAGATTTAGTCATAGCCGTATGCCGTATAACACGTTGATTTTAACTATAAGTGTGAATGAATGAGAAAGAAACAGACACAGAGAAAGAGAGAGAGAGGGGATATGAAAGATGAAAGATATGGAAATGTTTAACAAATATATTGTATATGTATTTTCTATGCTATTTTTGTGGAGTAGATGAAGATGGTTAAACTCTCGCCGAAAATGCGTTAAAATTTCAACAGAATAATTATAACACAAATTTTGTTGCATTATACAGAACGAACTGATTATGAGTGGTTTTCGAGAGTTGATTAGAGTTTAATTGGGATAGGAAAGCCTTCGTTTTGCTAGGTCTATTGATGTTATTGCGAAATAATAGAAAATATGAAAACTGTGAGCGGAGAGCGGAGAGCGGAGAGCGTACAGTGAAAAGTAGTTACAAATCAAACAATAAGCGAATTTAAAAACAAAAATCTTTAGCTCGTTTTTGGGTAGACTCCGAATTGGAAGTGTTCAAATTGTAATTAGGTCGTGAGAGAACGAACAGCGTGTTCTAACAAATAAGTAATAAAACACTGAATTACAAATACTTGGAATTGCATTAAATTATTATCGGGAGTTCCCATCGGTCGATACCAGATCGTTTGGGTTATAATCAGCTCTGCTTCTGCAGCTTGTAGGTGGGCATGAAGGGTATGTAGTAGGTCCACTTCCAGCTGCGAATGGTATCCATACCGCAGGGGAAGTCATAGTCTGTGGCAGTGCCGTCGTTGATGTTGTCATCGCCCAGCGGCATCTCGTTGGCCCACTCGATGAGACCGCGCTCGGCCGGCGTGCCAGGTATTATATTGTCTAGGAAGCAGCCCAGGACACCGCCCACCAATATGGTTGTGCCCAGCAGCACGGATAGTGTCGAGTCGACTGTCTCGTTGCCCGTGTCAATGGCACCAGGATGATTCTGCATCCAGCGACACAGCACCATGGGGAAGAATATGGACAGGCCAAGGATGTAGAGGTTTCTCGACGATCGCAGATCCACATACTGCAGTGTGGACAGGCCGAAGGCAATGATCATGCCGAACATTACGCAGAATATTCCGCCCACCACAGAATCGGGAATCAGAATGAAGATGGCCCCAAACTTGCCAATCACCCCTTGGAGGACCATTATCAGAGCAGCCCACTGGATGACGCGACGCGAACCAATCTTAAAAGCAGATGAATTCATCAATAGAGAAGTCATATGTCAAGTCAATGTGCAAAATTGTACCAACCTTTGTCACTCCGATGGCCCCGACATTCTCTCCGAACGTATTCGTTCCGTTGCCAGCACCCCAGAGTCCGGCCAGGACAGTGCCTAGTCCCTCAGTGCCGATGCCTCGATTGATGGCATGAAGCGGCGGCGAGTGGGCGCCCGACATCTGTGACACCGTCGGGTAATAGCTCAACGACTCCACCGTGCAGGCCAGCACGCCGGCGAGCATGCCCAGCACACCCGACAGCGTGACCGATGGCCAGCCGAACTGGCCGGGATACGGCACGTAGAACCACTTGGCGCTGGTCAAGACATTCAGTCGGACATCTGTGCGAGAGGGATGCGACGGTGGGAAGACATCGGTGGCTGTCAGAATGCCGCACAGTCCCCACATGATCATGATTGTGAGCAGCACTGGGAACAGGCGAAACAGCTGGAACTTGCGCACCTCGAAGCCGTGACCCTTGCGGTATGCCACCACTGGCACGGGCACATTGGACATTATTTGTGAGAAGAGCGTCAGCATGGCAGTGGTGCTGCAAGGATAATGGCTAAGTAAATCGAAGAACGAGTGTCGAGTGTCACGGCTTACCCCACGGCTATGCCCCAGTGCTTGGAAGCCGTTTCGGCTGCATGCTCGAAGAGTGTCAGTCCCACCAGCGACACAGTGGGCACAATTGTCAGCGGCGTGACATACTTGAGGATCTTGCCCACGAGCCCCGTGTAGCCAAGAACGACTTGGACCATGGCGGAAACAGCAATGGCGCCGGATAACTCACGCATGCGCACTTTCCACAGCTCCTGCCGCTCGTCCTCGTCCATGGCATCCACCTCGGCCTGGGGTGGACACTTCCACTGGGGCAGAGCGAGAATGGCGAGCGTCGGCACCAGGAACGAGATGGTGCCGCCCTGAACAATAGGCAGACGCACACCCCACGTGGCCTGAACGTACGTCACAATGCCCGTGACGAAGATCATGGTGGATATGATGATGCCGCGATTGGCATCCTCGTCGGACATGCACAGCGCCGGCGTCAGTATGAACGGGATGGAGACAATGGCCCCAATCATGGTCAGATAGTGCTGGAATGCGAGGAATATGCTCAGATACCAGGGTGGATTGTCGTTGATGGCATAGAGCAGCTGAGGCTTTGATCTCTCGGCATGTGTGGGCGTGGATGTGGTTGCAGCTCCCACCGGAGGCGCACGATTGTGCGCATCCCCCTGTAAAATTGATGTAACCACATACTATAATTATATTTTATTAATGCAAATATTTATTTACTTATGCTAATTAGCCATTTGCTGCTTTGGAGTACCCACTAGTGTCTATCAGTCACTCTGCGGGTAATCTCAGAGTGTGGGGAAGTTTTACTGTTTTATTTATGAGCATCACAATTAAATTCTTGCATTCATTTACATGCATTTATGGCTCAACAGAGTCCCAAGGGGCGAGGGTTTCACTTTTCATCGTAGCCCGAGTTTGAATGACAGCATTGGTCGGCAATCGTGATTAATTGAGCGTGATTATCAGTGCACGGTCCATGGGACGGTATGCCATCTACTCAGATATTGTTTTAATCAGGCCATAAATAACTAGCTGATTAGTTAGAATAGTTGATAAATCACAGTACACTGTGAATTTCCTACATTGTCTACTGAGACATTGTCTCAAAAATGCGACAAATTGTAATTGTCAACTTTCGCCCTACAAAACGATTAGCAAATAGTTTTGAATGATCTGTGAATTGCTTGGTGTTATACATATTGTCGGGCATTGTCCCTCACATAAGATGTGCAATGCCAATGGCAAGCAGGCAACAATTGAGCACAAAACAAAAGCCGATAAATATCAGAGCAAAAGCTTTCACAATTGAGAGCAATTATGCAGCGTCCGTTGGACAGCTAATCGCATTTTCTTACATAAACCCACGCACATGTGAAATTGTTCTAGGTCCGTGCCGAAAACAAATACAAACAATTATTACTTACGGAGGCGCTATCCTCGACGGTAACATTGTTCAACTCCATGATCAGGCGATTTCACACTTTACGCCCGTCATAAACTAATCAAGAAGAACGCGAGGGTTAGATGTGGAACCTCTCCTAATTGGTTTGGTATCCCAACTCGACAATCGACAACTGCTCGCGACAAAGGCCCACGACTTAATGCCTTGGCGGACTCGCGAAGATCTATCAGCAAGCTGTCGAATTTCTCTGTCAAGTTCACAGTTGGATCGGAGACGATGGGGAGCGCAGCGCCGCCAATTGAACGGCTATAGAAAGCATCGGAGAGCAGCTGACTGCAGTGCATTCGCGTGCTCTCAACGGAACGAGCTATTAAAAACAATAAAAAGAGAATAATAATCTAGAGATTTTGTGGCCAAATTGAAACCATACATTTTTACTCTTGGAAGACTGAGATCTCAAATCCATCTATTCTACTTTCCGAAATGGAAAGATTCTTCATGGCGACTTGAAGAATGCTACGAAAAAGAGATAAGCAAAGACTATTTTATGGCAGTCAAATGCTACCCTATATAAGTGCCAAAGCGTGTCCTATAAAGATATCAGCCCAAAAATTGGAACAATGTGATAAAAATAAATTATCTGCTGTTTTCTGCTGTTTTTATTTTCAACTCTTTGGCCACTAACCACTGCTGTAGGTTACGAACAAAGTTGCAGCAATAAAGCCCCTTTTTGGTCTAAAATTTATAATTTAAAAATGTCTGTACTCTGGCATATGCAAGTAGTGATCCAATTGTGAACAAAATTTAAACAAAACAGTTGGTACGAATTGCTTTTTGACTGATCGTTCTTATGTAAATTATGTGCATATATGAAATGGTGGGCAGATCCGATGATGGTGCGATGAATGATCTGCTTACTTAGATAGCATGCATGTTTTTGTTGAGCCACGAATGGTTATAAATTTATAGACTGAACATAAGTATACATACACTATTCTTTTTCGTTTCATTACGAGCATCTTAATAATTCAATTATACCTTATTTAAGGGTAAACAGCCGTTAACATTAAAAAGGTATGCAGTTTTTCATACGATTACTCACAGCACAAGCTAGACGGGAGCTGTTGGCGATCCACTGCGTTGAATATAAATTGCAGCCTAAAAGGAATCTTCTGGAAAAGTAATCCTGCAAACAGCGATAACACACTTATGGAAAGAAATACAAGATGTATTTGTTTTATATATTTTGGGGGAAACAAAATTGATTTTTGCGTTTTATTTAAATCGGAAAAATAACGTTTACATTCTTCATCTGTAAATATTTAACTAAATCACTACGCACATACATACATACATAGTTTAATACACATTAATTTAGTTTTGGTGGTCTCTCTTGTGTGTGTGTGTGTGTGTGTGTTGTGTGCAGTGTGCTGTCGGGGTGCTGATAATTCCAATGCTAGTCGCACGCACTGTCCTTCTAAATTCTACTATAACACACCGTTGAATATTCTTCTAGAATTTGATAGAACTGTTTGTGTATTGTAGTATAAGCATTTATAAAAAGTACATTGTATGCGGTAGATACACTATTCTCCGCAGAGGGGAGTGGAGTGGATTCAAAGTATCTGGTTATGCCAGGGGAAGTGCGTATCTTCTGCATGTGTATGTGTGCACGAGTGTGTGGCGATGTGTGTGGATACAAGTTTATCTGCTTATTCTTGAAGATCATTATCATAGTATTTTTTTTTTCTTTTTTAACATTAATCATTACGGTTCCTTTAAGTAAAGCACACCAAGTTCTGTTGCAGTCTCTCTCTTACAAATAAAACAACTAATGGCGTAAAACAAAAATTATAGTGTTTAAATAAAGGTGTCGTCCAGTGTCCAGTGAGCAGTGGCAGGGCCAAAAGGTTGAGAGGTGGGAGGGACACAGCTGCAGGGGAAATGCCATAACCTAGGGCTCACTATCATTTCCATTAGGCAGCTATCAGATCTTACTCTTACTCTTGCTCTTCCTCGCCATCGTCATCGCCATCGACATCGCCGTCAGCGTCGGCATCGGCGTCGCCTTCCTCCTCTTCCTCTTCTTTTGCATGCCACACACTGCTCTCGTTCTCGGTATCACTCAAAATTTCAACCCCTTCCTCGATGCTCTTGATTTCGCCAGATACTGGATCTATTATGCAAACCTCCCCATCGGTCTTCATTACATCCAGTTCCGGAACTATAGGATCATCCGTTCCCACCTGGGCGTTTGCTGTGGCTGTGGCTGCTGGCGCCGTGGACACATCCATTGGGGGCAGCGTGGCAACAGGATTGAAAGGTGCATCCAGATCTTCCAGACCGCGTGGCGGCTTCAACTTGGCCAGCTCCTCGCGCAAATGACGATAGTGTCGACGCAGAACCATAGAGTTGAATGATATGGTGCGGCTAGCCCGCTCTGTATACTGCGGCTTACTAAGCTCCTCAATCCAACCCTCAATCTGTGTGCAGACCTCCTCGCGCTTCATCCAGAAATGTTTGTGTATGACCTGTCAAAGGTAGTTAAGTTAGACAACGATTTTTCGCATTTTGCGAAGAGAACTTACGTCTTTGAAGCAGGGACTCGGATTGCGTATCTGTTCGAGCATCGCCCAGCGTACGCAGGCCTGATATATGTTGCTATTGTACTCCCGCGACGAGTTGGTGCCACTAGGCGTGCCACGACTACGCTCGAAGCCGGGCTCATTGAAGTACGGCTCTGGGACTAGGATCAGCGACTGGATGGAGACGAGCACCTGCAGGAAACTGGAGGTCTGCGCATTCCACTTCTCCTCAGGACGGCCATGCCAGGTGTTCAGCACAGACAGACACACTTTGCCATCGTTGTAGAGATTGGGATTGAAGCGCACCGAATGTCGCCCGGTGGTCTCCAAATTGATGAGCATGGGCAGATTGGGATAGTCTGGCGGAAAGAATACATCGAACTCGAAGCATCCATTGGCGTACGGTGTGTCCGATGGCCCAGTAATGAGCACCTACGATGATACATCATAATGAGTATTTTCTGGTTGATTTTTGAAAGGGACTACTCTTACCTTCATGACATCCAATCTGTCCGTATCACAGCGCACAAATACAGAGCTACTATAGCTCAGAGGCAGGCTGGTGGACAGTGTGACCGCTTCCTGGGCCAGCCGCTTCACACGCGACGGATGATAGCGATCGCCTGCCAGTCGCACCATTTTCTCAAAATGATGCGACACCACAAATCGAAAGCTATTATTCTCCGACTCCACAATCATGTCAAACGTGTCGAACTGCCGCTTCTTCATAAGCTCCAGATAACGCTGCTCGATCGACTTGCTTAGGGGACGTTCCAGCTGGCCGCTGCCATCCACGTTGGTGCTCTGCATGTTGATGAGAGCATCGGCATCGGTGGTCTTCTGCACCAGAACACTCGTCTCCTGTATGTCCGGTATAAGCAGCGCCAGTCCCTCGTCATCGCCATCGTCAATGTTGAATGTCAATGGCTGGGTCTGGCCCTTGATGTTCGACTTCTTGTTGACTCTGCAAAGGCGATAGAGTAAGGAAATCAATTGTCGATTGTTTTATCGTTCTTAACTCACTTTAAACGCTTGGCATAGGTGTCTACACAGGTCTTCATGTTCGTCAGCAGCTCCGCAATGGGTGGTGTGCCCTCGCCGCAGGCGCTTGGCGCCGGCTGGAGCAGCGACACGAGAGACTTGGACAGCGAGAGGGCCCGCAGCAGCTTCAGTATGGCACGATACAGGGGAATGTGTCGAGTTATGTCCAGCACGGAATCATTGCGCAGATACGAACTCAGGGCAGGAATCAGACACGACTGCTGCAGCAGGGTCTGGAACAGGGCGGGCAGCTCCCCGGTCACATCGCGCACGTCGTGATAGGCGAGTATGTCCTCGCCGCACATGTCGCTGGGTATGCAGTCGCCCGGATTGATGTAGCTGGCCAGCACGAGCAGCAGCACGGTGACATGCTCCTCCTCGCTCTTCTGCCGCAGCAGCGCCTGCTCCACGTTCCACGATTGAGTGGTGGAGCCAGTGCCGAAGCCGGTTCCCTTGGCCCAATACATGTGGCTCTTATCATCCGAGGTGCCACTGGGAGTGGGCTCATCCGCTGCACTGGTCTTGGCCCCAGAAGAAGTTCCATTTGTGGTTGTGGTTGTCGTGGTGTTTGTTCCACCTAAGGTGGCGCTGGCGGTGGCACTAGCGCTGGCGCTGGCACTGCCACTGGGTGAGGGCTGATTGATCGGTGCTCCAATTCTGTTGTTGTGCGACTGATGCGAAAATATGCCCAGACAATTGAGCACTAGATGCATGGCCCCCACCTCGATGACCACGCGGCGGAGCAACATGCCATCATCGGTGGACAACGGCACAGTGTCCAGCAGCTGGCGGAATACCTCAAACGGTAGCGTGGGCAGCGAGGGCGCTAACGAGAGGCTGTAGATGTCATCTAGGGATAGAGAGAATGCTATTAGCTCCCGAGATATTTATTTGGACAAAAATTATACTCACTGCCCTCGCCGTCGCCTGTAACACCCAACACCAAACGCAGCAGGCACTGGGCCCGCAGCTTGTCCCTCAGCAGAACATCCGAATAGGCAGGCAAGCGAAGGAACAGTCCAAAGGCGGCCAGCGAATGTTGGGGAACTGAGCTGACGGGCGTCTGCTTGGCCACTGGCTCACAAATGGTGTCCTCCAAATCCTCGTATATCTCATCGTTTGGCTCCAGCTTCACCCAGTCCGCTAGCGGTGGACTCTTTTCCTTTTCGGTGACCACCATTACCGCCTTGCGTCCCGAGTGCTCAGGATACACTGTGGGCAGATAGTGAGCCAACAGGGAGAGGCCACCACTACTGGAGAATCGTTGCAGTGGAGATGGCAGCGGCTCTGTGCAGGCTGCCTTTGTCTTATTGTCATCGATGTTCTCGTCTGCGTGCTGCAGCGGCACCAGATCCAGTGTCAGACACGGTATGGCCAGCGAGTGGCCGGCAGCCTCCAGTGTGGCCAGCACCTGGGATATTGTGGCATCACCGGAGAGCACTATGTTGGGATAGTCCGGAAGGACCAGCTGATTTTTCTTGGCCACATTCGATTGCAGCAGAAACTCCTCAACATTGAATACATCTAAAAGGGATAAAGGAAATCAACCATGAGTGGGACGCTAAAGAGCTAAACCGATTTCTAGTCATACTGGAAGCCGCGCTGGTTGTCTGCGTTTCCTTGTCCTTGTTAACGGCCAATAGGTTCTTGGCATCCTTGATGCGTTTGTCCTTGGCCGCCACAGCGGCTCCCACGCTCAGGAACTCGAGGCTACTGAGGTCCACATTGCTCAGGTTGATATAACAATTCTTGTCCCAGTTCTTGTCCTGTTTGGGATTGATGAATTTGCCAGCAGCTCCTGCGGCACCTGTGGTACTGCCACTGCCTGTGGGCTCGCCAGCTCGCGGATCTGTAGGTGGTTTGTACACTAAGTTACTATACACTAGAGGGGGGGAGGCGGCAATAAATAAGTAAATGAAAATACAAGTAATCAAATAATTGAAAATGAAAAAGAGTTCCGCAGCCAGAAGGACAACTCACCGCTGACACAATTCATGAGAATCTCCTGGCAGGTTGTGCTGGTGGTCACATTGAAGTGCATGTCGTGGGCACTGCTGCGCTTGGCCGGATGATTGTTGACTGCCGCCACCGGCAGGCTGGTGCTGGTGCCGCAGTTCGAAGCCGTAGACCCAGATCCACTTCCACCACCACTCATAATGGTGGATAGAGTGTCCCGCCGCTGCAGCGGATGCTGGCTGCGAACGGCAACGGTGATGTGCTCGTTCTCCAGTAGCAGCTGCAACACCAATTGCCGCGTGAAGCCGGAAATGGTGGGGCGAGTGCCGTGCACAGACCGCAGCGGCTTGCAGATGATGGCGCCGATGAGCAGAGAGGTGAGCACTTCCTGGTTCTCGGGATGGCAGGCACTCACGCGCGTCAGGAAGTTGATGGTGGAGCGCTCCAAACGAATGAACGACTGCTGCATGGGCAGCGTCTTGCTGAACTGCGAAGAGTGCGTGTGGCACAGGAGCTGTAGCAGTGGCTTCCAGAACACAGATCCCTGCATTGTGCCCAGCCAGTTGCGCATGGGTCCCTCCGCGCAGCACTCGGCAAAGAAGTCCAGCACTTTGGGCACAACCGAGCTGTTCAAAAGCGGAGTGTTGGGGTTGTTGTGGTTGGCACTTGGGGGCGCCTCCGCCTTGTCAAAGTCGGTGAGGGACGAGCCCTGCTGGCCATCAGTTGGTGCCGCTGCCTGAGCTGCAGCTGGAGCTGGAGCTTGTACTGAAGCTGTGGGAGGAGCTTCTTGCTGCTCCAAGCCAGCCAGCAGGTGAGTACAGTACTCGTAGACGGCGTGGGCCAGCAGCTTGGGCAGGCCAGAGTCCAGCATTTGGTAGACAGCCGCCGGGGACTGGCAGGCAAGAGCCAGAGTTTTGAGGAATGTCGGACGTTCGAGGAGAACCGTAAGATTCTCACTGCCCTCGCGACGGAACCAGGCGCTGCCGCTCTGCACCTTGCTGTCATCGGTCTGACCACGAGCCGGTGGCTCCAGCTTCACTCCCAGCTTGACCAGCAGCTGATTGAACAGCTCCGGCTTGATGAAACACAACGCACAGAGCAGCGAATCAAAGCTGCTCTTGAGGGGTTCATCTTGCTCCAGGACAGACACCCACTCGAAGCAGGTCTCAAACAGCGACGAGGACACAAGCTGCGGGAGCTCTGGCAGCTGATACTGAACCTGCACCCGCCACAGGATCGAGGCAATGACCTTGACGAAGCCACTCTGAGGGTTATTGCAGCGCGCCTGCTTGCTGTAGTTGTCGTGCAACTGCATGATCCAGTCGATGAGCACGCGCAGCTTGTCCACCAGATGCTCCGCGGAGCCAGTGACCACTTCGTGGATGAGATCGCAGACAGCATCGCTGGAAAGCTTAAAGACTGCCACAGGAAACATTTGTTAGTGGGCTGGTCAATGAATAAATGCTGAGAAAGAGACTCACCCTGGGGCGTTGTGTGCCACAGCAGCGTTCGCAGCAGCTGCAGACTGAGCTCGTGATTGTAGGCGCCCAGCTTGAGCAATATGGTCTCCAGATGCTGCTGGGCCAGGCTCGGAATCATTGGCATGATGTTCAGCAGCGAGCAGCAGGCCTCCAGGAAGCCGGGATAGGCTGCCGGATAAGCGGCAATCAGGTCGGCCAGCTTGGTATCAGGCTGCAGAGCAGCCACATGGAAGCATCGCGATAGAATGCGCACCCAGCCAATGCTGGTCTTGGCAAATGCATCATCCTCCGGCATGGCATCGGCATCTATGGTTGACATGGCAGCCGTTTGCAGCGGCGAAGAGCACGATGTCAGCGAGTCCATGTACGGACCCTGGGAGCGTAGACCCTGCATGCGATTCCCGAATATTGTCTGGCCGAGCACGGCAATCTGCACCAGACCCACATTGCCACAATCCTTGGGTCTGCAAAGCAATAATCAATCCATGTTCTAACTGTTAATTCCATTCTTTCTACTCACTTGTACAGTCTGATCACGATGCTGGTGGCCACCTCCGCCTTGGACAACTTGAGGCGAATGCAGGTGAGTCCCGTGGTGGCCATGGGCGCACCAATTGGGATGGAGCCCACTCCATAGTCTCGCGACAGTTCGAGGGCCACGGCCGAGGGGCAGGAGGCCAGATTGGAGGTGTGCGGCACCAGCTGTACCTCCTTCAGCAGAATCGCCGTGGGCAGCGTGATGGTCAGGTCAACATGCGTCTCATTCGGGTAGAACATGTAACTCCAGGCCGGGGAACGCGGACGCCTATGCGTCGCATTGGGATTTGATATGAGCACCTCGGCACTTTGGGCCGCGTCATTCTCGGACACAATGTGCGAGAAGGGGGCAAAATTTATGAGACCATCGTACTGGGCACCGCTTCGCGGTGGATGCTGCGTAACTGGCGCCGATGTGGCGCCCGTGCTGGTGGTGGACTTCTTGCAAGCACTGCTGGCGGCCATGTGGGTGTTCAGCTTGAGGCGTGTATTGCGCGTCATGTGCTGCATAATTAGTGAGATCTGTGCCATGGAAGGGGTGCACTCATTAGTGGCGGGAGACAAAGAGCTCACTTCTAGATAATTACCAATCCTGGCTGCATGTTGATTATCGTCTTATTGAGCCGCACCAAGTTGTGGCAGATAATGTGTATGCCTCCCAGCTGTGTGAAGGTCTGTACGGCTGCTGTCACCTCCAGCACCTTGGATATGTACCACAGGAAGGGCTCCGATAGCGGCAGACGCGGCAGCGTTGCATTCCGCTGAATGGTAGCTACATAAAGCGATGGGAAAGGAAGATTATTAGATATTCATCTTTGATGGCAGACAACAGACTTACTCTCTTCGAGGTATTGGCAAATGGGTGCCACTACAAGTCGTGGATTTGAGGCCTTGTCGCTTAGTGTTATCATCAGGCTGAAGACGGCATCGGCAATGGTATGGGGATCATCGAGTACAGTGTTCGATTTGAGCAGCAGAAATCCACCAGAGGACATCATCGTGAACGTACTCGTGGAGCACTGGGAGAGCGTGCCAAAGAGTCGCTTCATCGTAGGGAATTGACGCAGAACTAACATCGAAGGGAGTATCGAATTAATTAAGGAAATTTTGCAAATGGAAAAGTGTAAAATCATACCCCAATCGGCTATGCAGGGCACTTTGCTGCGATGCCCTTCCGTGTTCAGTTGCTCTGCCTTGGTTTCATCCGTCTGGCTTTCATTCGACAGCTCTTCTTCCTCCGGAATGGTAACCTCCTGCAGGGACAAACATTCGGAAATTAATCAAAATTAATTGCCATAGAGAGAAGGACACTTACGCTTGGTTGCCTGGGCATTTCCGTGAGTACCATATGCGAGGATAAGCGTAGCAGATTTATGATCAGCGAATTGTCGCAGATCGTTGCATTCTGCTTGATGGGATTGTCTGAGCCCAGGACATTGGCAAACAGATTGCTAAAGTTGTTGCCCGGATTGTTGGTCTCGTTGCCACGCTGGCACTGCAGCTTCTCGCCATTGGAAATGTTGTTGAAGACCAGGAAAGCTGCAACCAAGACAAAAATCAAAGAATTGAAATGAAAGCGCTTTCCTAAACTATTTTAGAGACACTCACAAACACTTTCGGTGATCTTGAGGGCTATGTTAAGATCTCCCTTGTCGTTGGGCATCATGAGCAGGTCGCGCACCAGCTGATTCTGGGCATCAATGGGTCCCTGCTGGTTGCTAATGGCGCCTCCGGGTTGCACCAGTTGCAGCACAACATGTAGCAGGATGTCCTTAAGCTGACGCTTGCATGGAATGCCACTGCTCTCAGTCTTGCCATGCAGCCAGAGCAAAAGCTCATGCAGATGCTTGCAGATGGTGGGTCCAGCCTAAGAGGCGGATTCCACAAGAGGAGCAGGAGTATAAAACATGATAATGGATAAACGGATAACAGAAATACATACACAGCGATTCGTGATTATGGATGAGCTCATGCCGTAGCCGGAGAAGAAACGCAGAAGCATCTTCTCAAAGTTCTCATCGTTCACAATCACCTCATTGATGCGCGTGCAGTCGACATCATCGCCAATGGGCTGGGAATTGCAGGCGAGCAGCAGACATTGGAAACCCAAGCACCACGTGCGCAGCTTGATGTCATTGTGCCAGGCTAGGGCCAGTAGCAGTCCTTGGACCGCATTGGCCCCAAACGGTATCTTGGGCACGTCCGTCTGGGAGATGCCCGTGGTATAGGGCTTCTCGGCCAGCTCGCAATTGAGCGTCAGCCACATCTGCAGCACCTGCTCCAAGTGCACCCACGTGTCCTCGTAGTGCAGATCGGCCAGTATCGAGTCGAATACGTTCTTGAACATCACATAGGTGTTGCGGCCATTGTAGTCCGATCCGGACCACAGCTGTGTCAAATACTCTGGCCAGGGTGCCGCCTCGGGCGGTGGCGAAACAAACTCGTTGGTCAGTACCTGTGGCAGGGAGGCGTACAGATCCAACGACGTGCGATTGGTGAGGCGTCGCAGCTGGGTTTCCACATGCAGCTCCAAGCCCACATCCAGCCGAGAGTCCAATGCCACCGAAATGGACTTGCAGAAAAAGTTAAAGGTGTTCTTGCAGAGGGCATTGCTCTCCTTCTTTGTCACGGGCTTTGTGCGCTCAATCATGTCAATGTCATTGAGCATATCGTCAAATTCCGCATCATCACATTCAATTAAGGAGGGCAAGTAGTTGTATTTAACAGCTGCAACGTACACACAAATTGGAATTACTATAAGATGCGCATAGCTTTATATGGTTAAAGGATTTATAAACAAAAGACAAAACTAGTACAGTTTGGGGGAGAAACAATAAACAGAACTACAATTGGGTTGGAGCAGAGACTATAAAATACCAAGATATTGATTGCCGGAGACTGAAGTCTTTGTGCACTCCGACAGAGATTGCATATTGTTATTCGATTCTGGGGACCGACTCAGCTGCACAAGGGGTATGGAATTTTTTGTTTGTCCCTTAAGCAACATCTTGGTAATTGTCTAGTCTTTGTTTGGATGGATTTTGGGTTGGGATTGTATGGCTGGGGTTTGAAAAATACATCTAACCACCTGGCAGCAGGACATAAAGGTGCCAATGCCAGGTGGTTGGATAGTGCAATAATAAATGAAATGTCTTTGGTTTTTTTTTTACCCTCCTGATAAAACTCTCGAGCTGTCGGCATTAGCATCTCGAACTGTGCCTCGGAGCATGAGGAAGACGATGCTAAAAAGATGAAAAATATTTTGATTCTTGCTTCTGCAGCTTTCAGTTTACAAATGGGAATGCATATCTACTGGGGGGACTGGGGCTGACTAGTAGGACTGGTGGATTGGGAGAACAAAACATGCAACATTCGGAGGACATTTTGGAACACAGTGGAACGAGTGGCTAAATATGATAGGTGATTCGCTTACATGTAAAATCACTGAAAAGATCGCGCACTTCATGCACCTCTGGCTCTAGCATGGACCGTGGCGGTGCATCGTTGGTGGGCGTCACATCGCTATCCCTGTACTGCTTGTCCGCATCGAGGAGATCCTGCAGCAGACATGTAATGGCATGTACAGCCCACGGCTGCTGCTGATCGTTCCACACGGCCAGCCGAACGAGCTGCTCCAGCTGCGCAGTCGTTACAATCTTGCACAGCTGTACTGAGGGACGGCAAGCGGCCACAAGGCGAGCAATCACCTTGCATGTGAGCAGAAACTGATCCATATTGCAGTCAAAGTCCATCTCCAGCAGCAGTGCAAACAATCCACGAATGACGACCTTAATGTTCGCCATGCGCAACGTCTTTAAGCCCTTGTCAAAGTTACTGTCCCGCTCAGTCTCGCCGCCAGTGGAGCCTCCTGCGGCGCCTTCCGCATGCTTGGGCGAAGACGTGGAAGTGGCCGCTGTCTTCGTGGCGCTGCTGCCACTTGGCAGGCCACCGCCACTCGGCATAAACATGCTTGCCGCAGCCATGGAGATCTTATTGGCTGCTGTTGAGGTTTTTGTGGCTCCACTGCTCTTGGCTTTATTGGATAGCTCCATAAATATGCCAGGATGCTGTAATAAAGAATGGTTCATTATTATTAGTCTGACTATATATGTATGGAGTAGCATATTTAGTTAGGAGGTTTCCCCCACTCAACCAGCTTACGTCGCTTCTTGAATTTGTCATTACCTCATTTTGAATCATGTATATCTTCTTGCCCCAATCTGTGTAGGGCTGAACAGAGTACTTGCTCTGTTGGATGATGCGCTTCTTAAAGCAGCGCAACTGTTTGCTATTTGGCACATTGCTGGGCCTTGACTTGGTGAAATCGCTTTCGCAGCTCATGAAATCCCATCGAGCGGCAGCTGTAAAGTCAGATTAATTAGTGTTCTGGTTCTGTTTCTGTTTGCAGCACTCACATTTATCCTTGCGCTCATTGTCGTCCAGGCACACAGAGAGGAAGAGGAGCAGCCAAGTGATCAGCTGCAGATCCGATGTGCTGCCCATGGTGGCGCTACGCTCTGAGGCACTGGCCGAGGTGCTCGGCTGCTCCGACTGGAATTTGTAGTGCGGCGAAATGGGAGCCAGCAGCTTTAAGAGTGTCTTGAGTACGGCATCAATCACAATCGAGCGACAGGCACCCATGGCAATGCTGCGGCGTCCCAGATACGTCAGCAGAAAGAATATGCTGTATAACAAGAAGAAGAGTTAGGTCTAAAGAAGCGGAATGAAGGGATTTAGGGCATTAGTACTAACCGATCCTGGGGAAAGGCTTTGCAGTTCTGTGCAGAAAACAGGCTGCAAAAGGTGTCGGCCAGGAAGTCGCCCCACCATGGCTGGAAGCAGCACATGACAACAAGAAGGGAGCAGGTGGCCAGCTGCAGCTGGGCATCGCCATAGACCACCAGCGAATTGAAAAGAGCCTTGGCTGTGGCCGCATTGAAGCGCTGATAGACGGGTAGGATGTTCTTGATGCCATACTCGATGGAGAAGTGCAGCAGCACTTCCACCAAGGTAAGGCTAAGAACACGCAGTTTGTCTTGCGAGGCGGCACGCAGCGTTTCCTCTGTGAGCGGACCCGTCCTTGGAGGTGGTGTGCACACCACATGGGGGTTGACGGCACGCTCCAGACGCAGCACCACATTCCTGATTACATTGATCTGATACTGGAGCAGCATGCACTCGTCGTAGAGGGACACAACCTTATTGCTGTTGTCCACATGACCAAGCTCCTCGTCGCGCTGCTTGTTAATGAACGCCTGCAGATGGGCCACGTTGGAGAGCTCGCTGTGGCGCATGGGCGCGAGAACATCCAACAGCTTCGAACTGGCCAAGCTGTAGCGACAGTGCACATCCTCGTAGAGAGCATTCAGCGACTTGAGCTGAGCCTGCAGATTCTGCGTAGGCTGCTTGATAAAGCGCATCAACTGATCACCGTAGCCGTCGTGCTCGAGCACAACGGGATGGCCAAAGAATCGACCCAACGGCACCTTGCACTTGGTGGACGACATCCCGATGCGCCCAATGATCGTCACCTTCATGAAGCGACAGATCGGCGGCGGCTGTATATCGCTTAGCACCAAAGTCTTCGTCTGGATATCCGCCACCTGGACGAGACGCGTGCAATCTGTCTCCTCGTCAAAGCACCAGATGTCGATGGTCAGGGACGTGAGCTCGTCGCACGAGGGTATCACTACATCTGTGAGCAGGATGTGCTGGCCAAAGTCCAGCACCACAAACCGCCTTGCTCCAGAGTGCATGCGATCGATGATGATCATTTGTTTGGGCGGTGGAGTGATCAGTTTGTGCCAGGCGATCGGCTGGCACGGATTTGCGCTTAGATTTTCCATAATCTTTTCGCGTTCGGCAGCATCATCGAGAACGACAGTGCTCTCGCCAGCTCCCTCGGTTCCGACTCCTGCCTGCTGTGGTGCTGTTGCTGCTGGTGTCACTGCAGCTGCTGCTGCTGCTGCTGCTGCCGCCTGAGTCACTGACTGAATAGTCAACATCCCACCAAACGGCTTCAAGGTCTCCAATGCCAACTGAGCTTTGCATGTCGGAGTCATTTCCCAGTTATCAAGCTTGCTCGAAGCATCCACGGCATGCTGATGCTTCTTGAGAATATAGTTATCGAACAGGGAGAGAGGGTGGAGAAACTGTGACAGCTTCACCTTGTCCATAATGTCAACCTTCTCGTTCTTAACCTCCTCCTTGAGGACATGCTCCAGGTCGGTAAGCGAAGAGACAGACTTGTCTTTGAAGCCATTGACCAAGCCAAACGAATCAAAATCGAGCTCTTCCTGCTTCACCATAGACTCCACATCGTTGACCAGATCGTTCAACTAATAAAAAATATAAGCTTTAAACATATCTCATTCGACGGAAATGATGTGAATAATGTCTTACCACATCGTCATTCTTGTCCTTGGCCACCAACAGCTTGGGTATCAGCACATCCTCAATCACTAGACTAGCGGCCGCTGTCCCACCCACACTGTCGAAGTTGTCGATGCGAGTGGCCTCCGATGTTTGCACACAATTAAAATGCAATTGAACCACTTCCAGTAGACCACGCAGCTGATTGCTGATGCTCTTGCCCCGTATCAGATAGGGAAACGTGCGAAAGTCCACGCCATCTACAGTGGATTTTGATATATTAAGACTCACCATCAAAGACTCGAACATCAAAATCATTTTTTGTTGCAACATACCAATCGAACTCAAACGCTTGATGTCCAGTGCCGTTACGGGCAGAATTGTCGAATTGCTGCGTATCACATTCGTCAGGGATCCCACAGAGGAGCTGGCGCCATGGCGATTGAGATTGGGGAAATCAAAATCAAATATCTCTGGCTCAAATGGGAAGCCATAAAGGCCAAAGCGTGTGCTTAGCAAGGCGCAGCAGGGATCCCAACGCTTGTCTATTTCGCCGGCAATTTCCTTGAGCAAATTGATGGCCTGCTCCGATATGCTGTTGTTCGACTCTGCCGTAGATGTGGCGCACGTGAGCATCGTGTACCAGCGCACAACACTCCCGGTCTGTGCGCGAGGCAGCTCATGGAAGGTGTTTGTGATAGCCTCCTTAATGGCATAGTCCAGCGTGGTGAAGAGTTGCAGCTCCGTGGGCAGATTGGTCACGCCCCTATACAGATACAGAAACAGTCAGAATTATTGAAGCGATGTTGTCTGGGTATATACTCACTCTGTAAGCATTATTATCAGTTTGGAGCACTTGTGGGCCGTGCTACGCTCGCTGTAGATGATGCAGTTTCGCATCAACTGCTCAATATGCTTCTCGGCCAGGGAAATGCACTCGAACTGCTGGGCCAGCAGATCGGGAATATTGGCTGCCGTCTGCTTGTTAATCTGATCCTTTAGCCGCTCGGATTTCGGCGAACGGAAGCGATTCAGGCGAATGAAGCATATCCAATTGAGAATGTCGAGGGCCAAGTTTTTGGTCAGCGGCGTGGATCCCGAATCGCTAGCAATGCGTAGCAGCTGCTCTATAAGGACATTGCTCTCCAGCATGGCAATGCGCTGCATCCTTGAATTGTTGATGCGACTCTGCGACTTGACAGCCCTCACACTAATGGAGATCTCATGCAGCCAGTCACAGCCTACGAGGGAGATATAGAGTGGAAAGAAAGTTATGGATAAGTATCTGTTGTATGAGCAGTAAGAGATTTTTTAATGATTGTTAATGAGAACGTGCAAATACCTTCCCTACTCAGTCCCCCAGCTAACGGAGCAGGAAACGGACCATCTGTAGCGGGCAGGGGCTCGGGCAAGGTTTGCATTGGAGACATATTGATTGGAGGTTGAGCCTGGACAGTGCCTACATTTACCTCTTTTGGCATGTCCAAATTTACTAGGGTAAAGCCATCTCCAAAGAGTTTCTTGAGTTTGTGTTTTTTGGATTGAACTTTCTGAGATTTTTGCTTGTCTAAGTATTCACTCCCATTACTCGGGAAGGTAGGAAAATTCGGATTAGAGTGCATATTCGAATTATCTTGACTAACCAACACCTCTATATGATGCGGCCGGCGCTTGTGCCGTCTCGAGGGGGATGCTGTAAAAATGTTGCAAAAGCAAAACTTAAAGTAAAACAAAAAGCACAAGAAAAAAGCCACGGGGCCCACAAAAAATTCAACCAAATCTATACAGATAATACAAGCAGATCCTTTGGTTTGATCTACTAATCGTTCAGTGGTACCTACCCCTTGTCTTGGTCTGTCCCTCTTTGGACGGATCAGTCACCGTCTTGATGTGCAGCAAAAAGTTGCGTGTTCGAGTTTTGAATAGCTTCGGTGAGGTCAGCGTGGCAGTGCCCCCTTGATCGCACACATCAATGCAGGACGATAGCTCGATGGGACCGGCCAGTACCTCTGCATTGTGAGCCAGTAGATATTCCTCGCTGAGTACGGGATTCTCATTGGCAACTGAAAAATCAAAAGGAAAGACTGTCAGAGATGGGGTGAGGGAAGAGGGTGTTCTGTACACATACTGTAGGAGAGATCAATGTTGTCGTCAATGACGTTCGGCTTGTAGCTTGCATGGGGTCCCTTCATGCGGTAGCCAAAGCCATTGGTATTCTGCTTGAGCAGGGTGACTTGTATGGCGGCCGGATTGGAGCATTGCTGGTAAACCGTAAACTTTAGATCAATGTGACCCAGGGATACTGGCTGTGCCAAATTCAGTTCAATGATATGCTCATCCCACGTGGTACTAAAGAGGGAACAATGCAAAAACATATCTTTTAGTGTTCCAAGTGTGTTAATTCTTAAAGGTCTTACGCATCGTTGTGCAGGCGCCAAGTGCGCGTGTAGTCACGCTCATCGCCGCCATGTCGCATGTTCTGCGATTGCTTGCGCTGCTTTTGCACTTGTCCCAGATCATTCCAGCAGCTGGGCACTTCGGCCGAGTAGAGCGTCAGCTTGTCATCGAACTGTGTAAGGGCATGGAACATTCTTAGGTCATCGAGCGTCAGATCGGTGGTTTTGTAGGCTAGGAAATTGGCATTACTCGAGCCCATCGACTGAGCCGACGGCGATGTCTGAACCGTTTGGTGTGTGGCGGCTGCTCCTGATGTGGATGCCCCCGTGCCCTCAGTGCCCACATCAACACTTATGCTGTCATTCACGGTCAACAGCCTGCCATCCTGCTCGTGACCCACCGCCATGGTGCGAACAGTGCCGTCTGTGACACTCAGCTCCACTGCCTGCGTTGTCTGCGTTAGGGTTGTGCTGCACTCATCCTCCAGCTCGAGCAGCTCATCTCCGGAATCGTTGTCGCCCTCATTTAACGAGTAGAAGAGCAAACCGCCTTGACGGGAGCAACAGCAGAGTCTGTCCATGTTGCGGCAGTAGACGACAGACTCAAAGTGTTCCCCTTCCTGTTCGATGACGGTGGTAGTCTGGAAGTCGGCTAGCGAGTATATTTCAACGCTGCCATCGGCACACACCACACAAATGGCGCCCATCTCCTTGTGTTCCGGCGAGGTGTTGAAGTGGGGCAGAACGCACAGCTGTTTGGGGCACTTGGCCCGGCTGAAGGTCATGGCTAGGGTATAGTCGTGCGATATCTGCGTGTCATCGTAGTCGAAGAGTAAAAGCTGAGCAGCTACACTGCATTCGGCATTGTTGTCTATGGAAGGGTAAAGAATTTAATATAAAACTGATTTAGTTTGTGATGGCAACATACCCGTATCCATGCATTCATCTGCCTCCTGTTGCTCCTCCTCATCCTCCTTGGCCACGGTGGCCATGATGATCTTACTGCCCTCCGTTTCTGGTGCCTTGGTGCGCAACAATTTAACCAGCAGCTGATTGCATTTCGGTGTTGATGGCATTATCTCGGCTATCTCCACAATCTCTTGGGCCGCACTGGGCATGGCACCGTTCTCGCCGCTTACTGCCCCCCCATCCAGGGCATTCATACGCTTCACGCTGGTCCAGCTCTCCACCACACAGTCGATCTCCTCGCTGGCCGTCAACTTGTCGCTGCTGCTGTTGCTTCCGTTTAACATTATATTGTTATTATTGTTGTTGTTATTGTTGTTGTTTGTGCTGCCGCCCAAGGAGTTTCCATCGTTGTTGTTGTTATTATTATTATTATTGTTGTTGTTGTTGTTAATATTCTGATGTGTCATCTCGGCATCGTCGACAAGTTTGTCCATGTCGTTGCCCATGGCGGGAATACTGCCCACATTAACGGTATTCGAGGTGACCATTAGACCGCCCAGCGGATCCTCCAGATTATGATCCAATATCTGCGACAACGTGCACAGATCAAAGTCATACAACACAGAGGCATCGTCCGCATGCTGGCTGGCACCGTTGTTCTTGTTGTAGGTCATCAAAGCGGACACAAAGCCATTACTGTCAAAGCCATCGGCAAATTTCTCATACGGCGTCATTGCCTTGTTGTCATCGTCCTTCGACTCGAGATTCACTTGGGTAACCATTCCACAACCGCCGCCATTGGCTTCACTCGAAGATGCTGTAAAAAGAAAAAAGTTAATTGTTTCTGCATCCCATAAACATATTCATAATACTCACTGGTACTGGTACCGATCTGTGACGAGGTCTTCTTGAGATTTCCCCCAACGCTCGAGACGCTGCCACTGTCGTTGCTCACGCTGGCCGATGTCTCACTCTGGCGATCCACCTCCACAATATTCAGTACCACCATGCGCAGGGCCACCTCGCCGCTGCTCTGGCGCACACTGACGCCCAGCACAATCTTGGATCCCACCACGCCTGCGCGCAGCGTTGATGTGGAGGTTATATGCTGGGCATTAACGCTGCCAAATTTGCCGCTGGTCTGATTGGAACCAGCATGTGAACTGCCGCCACCACTGCCGCTGCCAGAGCCTCCATAGTTGGCAGCGGAATAGACGTAGTTGACCTTGGTGCGGGCTCGGGCATTGGGCAGAACACAGATGGCCGTCACGCGGGCCCACTCGAAGCTCTCCTCGAACACATCCTTGAGCAGGGTCGGCACGTGGAAGCTGTACATTAGCCTCAGATGGCGCTCGATGCTCCAGACGCTCAGCTCGCCCGTCTGCGAGCAGCTGGTGCACAGCACATTAGCATAGTCGCTGTTGGAGATGATGTCGAAGCCGAGGCCTGGCGCCGACAGGGCCGGACTGGTGGCATACGTGATGGACAGGGGTACATTCTGCGTATACTCGCCCTTGACAAACGGACAGATGGGCGAATGACGCTCATGCTCGCTCCACGGCTCGTCGGTCTTCTCCCAGCAAACCAGGCAGACATTGCACGTAAAGCACATGGCACGATCCTCGCCAGAGGACGACGGCTGATGGTAGAAGCCGGCCTGTGCCATTTGATCTGGCAGCGCCCACTTGTAGTCCATGTGGGGCCACTTCTCGAATGTCTGGCGTCGCACGGCCTCAGAGTGCATGAGCACGCGTTTAAAGTTGCTGAAATTCCAGCCAAAATCGGGCACACGCGACCCCATCATCATGTCTGTGAGGCGCTCGTTAATGGCGGATGCTATGGCCAGCACTGGAATGTGACGCTCCAGACGCTTCAGCAGGATGACCACGTTGTTGGCCACCAGCTTCATGCTGGAATACGGCACCTCCAGGCATATTGTATTCCACTGCAAGGTCAAAAGTGTGAGTCAAAGTCTGAATCGAGGAAAGTGCGTGATCAATCTTACCCGCTGAGCCTTGATGCCCTTCTTGGCATTTAGTTGAGCTTTGTTTATCTTCTGGGTAAGCTCGTTGCTTATGTCGCAGGGACACTCGAGACCCTCGCTCTCCAATTCGTTTATGCAGTGCTGAAAGATGATCGCCTCGGACAATATGATCTCCAGCTTAATGTAGTCGTCGTTCTGTCCAATTGGCGCCTGCAATATGGTATCCAGTAGCAGTACGCCGTTGTAGTCGCCGCGCAAGCCCACATTGTGGCCATCCCAGAACAAGATTTTATCTTGCAAGGGCATGTAACGACCATGAACGACGCTCTCGCCTATCCGAAAAAGTAACGGAAATGGAAATATAAATAGACACCGAATCAACACTAGAATCAACATGCTGCACTTGACACAACACCTACCCCACCCCCGTACCACTATTACTGCACCATGCGCAGTCAGCATCTTCGATTTTGCCATAGAGGGGAAATTGCAAGTGACTAATAAAGCATAGAGCAAACAGCGACATTCGATGCCACCGGCTAGTGAAACTTTGAGTGAGGGGGTCGGTTCGATGAGTGTGTGTGGGTTTGTGTGTGTGTGCAGTAACTGCGTAATAGAAGCTAAACAAAAACAAAGCGCATGTTGCTTGCTGCCGGACACAAATGGCAACTATAAACATTTTGCGATATGGAAAAAGGAGACTCGAAATATACAAAAACTATGCTGAGGCATGTCTGTGCGTAAGGCGTGGCAAATATCAAATTCCTGATTAGGAATGGACGAATCTTGGGGGAATGTTAAAATTCGACTAATTACAATTGGGGGACTTCTCGCCTCCAAGTGCATAAAAAATGTATGCCACACGCGTACACACACATAAATGAACACGCAGAGACAGACAGGCAAGTGCAAAGCAATTACTAAATGCACTACAGTGGTCGCTCGTTGGCGTGAAACCAACGCCCGGAATGTAAACGACAACATTTTAGAGAGTTTAATGCACTTCTCTGAAGTTTTAATTGACGGAAGAAAAACATTTCTTGCAAAATTACCCATATGTTTGTGTGTGTATGTGCGTGTTAGTTCTGATTTGCAAGTGTGCACTGTAATGACATTTGTATTTCTGCGTGTTTGTTGTGTGCGTGTACGAGTGTTAGTGTGTGGTATGAGTAGCGCTATTTTATTTTCTTTGCTACCGCTTACCATTTGTACTCAATTTATAGGTCTGCAATACAACTCCAGAATTGACATCCAGAACCTTCACAACATTATTGCAGCCGAACAACAGCAGCACATTCAATTGCGGATGGTAGACGATGTTGCGCATCTCGAAGGGACGAGCGGGTGCTCCGCTATTGTCGCCCACATCCAAGTACCCGTCCTGCTTAAGAACACGCTGCTCGGTGGCCATGCTGTTGCTGTAACTGTTGGCACGCGAGCAACGCTGTTGGCCACGCACTTTGGGTTTATTTTTTCCTGCTTTCAACTTTGGAATTTTTCACAATTACTTTTGCTCGGACCAATCTGCTGCTGCGTTCGATGATGGGGCTGTCGATATTTTCTTGAAAAGGGTATGTTCGGTGTTGTTGTCGATATTTGTGGATGAGTGTTGCTATCGTTGATTGTTGATGAGGGCATGCAAGGTGTTGCATTGGAAATGTTCTTATAATTTAGACAATCTAACAAGTTTAACAAATTATTTAATGTAGTGCGGTTTAATTTCATGGGTTGGTATGTAAGCGTAGGTGTAAGTGCAAAGGCAACAGAAGGATGCCCCAGAAAGTAGGAACAACAGAAGGTTGCTCCTCAAGATGACTTCCGATGCCAGCGCCTTGACTATCACAGAGAATTACAGTTTTACTGTATATTTTTATTTTAGATAGTTTACTGCCGTTAATATACCTACAAGCTCATCCTAATCGCAATTCGAATGGAGAAGTCGGAAGAAGTGTTGTGAAATGATTCTAAATAAATAAATAATTCAGTAATTTACAGCGCCTGCTATTTCATATTCCGTTTCGTTCCGATCCATCTGATCTGATGAATACCCTTTTCAATAGAATTTTTTACAATATTATGACTCTTTGAAGAAGGTTATCGCAGCTATCCCAGTGAACTAGTTACAGAGCCCCATGGGTGCTCGAAACGAATGTGATAGTGATGCATGCGATAGTATCGATGACGACTCTACAGTGCCCATCTCTATGAAAATATATTGTAAATATTTTCATTTGCAAATCTTAATTTGTTTTTGTTTGAAAAATAAGAGTTGCTTGTGCACGCGCTCTATCGCAACTATTAAATTAAAGCAACTTCATCGACATCAACTTTTTGCGCTTGGCAATTTCCACCTTTCCGAAGGTTACTCTAGAGGAGGAGCTACATAACAAAATATGAATATTTTACCAAAGAAACGGTGAGCTGAGCTAGTTAACACATGTAACTCTTGAATAAATTAATTGGAATGATGTTCATAGCTGGCATGTGCGAACCAAGGACAACATTGCCCGCGTGCGCCGGGATGAGGCCGCCGCAGAAGCAGAGAATCGCAAACGCCAGGAAAAACTTGAATTGGCTGTAAGTCGTCGTTTACATGGCATTTTCCATATAAACTCAGCCATTGAATCGTTTAGGAAAGCGAGGCACGCATTAATTTCCTGCGCCGGCAATCGGGCCTCCCGGAGAAGGCCACAGTTCCCGCCCGGGCCGAAGATGCTGCTGAAGCCTCCCCCACCTCTGGCACTGAAATCGAATCGAGATGTGTGGATCTGTTTGCGGACTACAAGACGCACGTTAAGACCACAAACAAGGATCTGGAAAAGGAGCAAAAGGAGGAGCAAGAAAAGTATGAGAAACAGATTGGATACCTCACTTATCTGGGCCAAGATACCAACGAAGCACTGAAAACGCACAGTTGGTATGAGGTGGCACCCAAGCGGCCCGAGGCCGGAGACCTCAATGCCATTGAAACTCATCTCCAGCAGAAGCTCTCCCACGACCCGCTTACACTCATAAATGCTCTACTTCCGCCGGAGAAGAAGGTGCCGAAAAGCGTTTGCAAAAGAAAACTAACTCCGTCACCGGAACCTTCTGTGGCAGAGCCATCTCCCACATATTCAGCACACAAATCGAAGAAGCACAAGAAAGGGCACAAAAAAAGCAGCAAGAAGTGTAAACATAGTAAAAAAGGAAAGGAGTCTGACGAAATCTCCTTGGTGGCTGCGAGGCACAAGCGGGAGAAGCTGGAGTTGCTGCGCAAGGAGCGACTGCGTCGAGAAGCAGTTGAGCGCCAACGATCCGAGGCCTTGTTTGCACCACAGGAAGCTGCAGTGCCCGTGCCCGCCAGTGCAGCCAGCAAGCCGGCGGCAACTCCAAAGGTTGTTCAGAAGTACAATAGTCAGTTTAATCCAGAGTTGGCCAAGCAAAATATGCCTTCAATGTAACATTTCACTTATAGAACAATGTTATTTCTATACGCAGCAACAACGGAATAGATTCGGAACGTAATTTTTTATTGTTAAAATAAATTTTAAAACTCGATACAAGTTTTTGAATATAACTGTCTTCGCGTAAATGAATTGGTGTTGAATAACGTTTAAAGCCTCCGATAAATTTGGTTATAATAAATTGCCAATACCGCAAGCGGATATCTAAGATAGTATCAGAGCAGGAACTGTGCTGAAAGCAGGTTAGAGGTGAGCGTCCATCGCTCAGTGGCCTAAGGCCTCTAAAATTGTTCACCTACATGGTAAAAGTATTGTTTATTTGAATTGCGTTTCAAATTTAACGGCCACAGCATAGCTACACTATCGAAATGCTGAACCACGCTCAGTGTTGTAAAATTCCCACAGTCGGCACATGTGAAATTCAGCGTCCCCGCGTCATCGTTTTTGTTAGATTTTGTTCGTATAAATTGCAAATAGTGCACCCTTTCAATTAATTGTTTCAACTAAACCGCCGCAGCACAATGGATGAGAATACAGAGAACACAGAGGGAGTGCGAGGTAAGTGGTAACATGCGGTACAACACAGAATTCTGATTGCTAATCAGATAGTCAAAGGAAACGCCGATACCGTTTGATATGGTTTAAAGCAACGGGACCGAGACTGGCAGCCGTCTCAACAAGAGTCGGTCGCCATTTTCGTAGCAGATAATTGCAGGTCCACATGGACATGTGTCCAGACTGTCCCACTTATAGTAATTTGAAATCCTTTCCCTCTAGTCACACGGGCACGCACACGCCGCCTGTCTGCTCTGGACACCGACAGCCGCCCCGGAACACCGCTGCTGGACACGGCATCCGAACGCGGTAAGCAATTATTGTTTATTGACATATGCTAGCCGACGTAGCCTAGACATCCTCGTGTTCTCGCCATTTCCAGGCACGGCCTCGCCTCGCCCCACACGCCGAACCCGTTTGAATTCGGCCACAGAATTGTCTCGTACTCCCACCCGAACCACGCGCGCATCGGTGGTACGTGGTGAAACCCCAGAGCCGACCACTCCAGCGTCCGTCAAGCGCGCGGCTCGCACACCGGCAAAGTCGACCAGAGCTGTGCGCCAGCAGCAGGCACTAAAAGAGGAGACTGTGGAGGAGCTGGAGCCCGATGATAATGACAAACCATCAAACAACCCGAGCCCCGCACCGGCGCTGGGCTCGCCAGCAGGCGAGAGACGCGTCACGCGTTCCATGTCCCAGACCCCTCCAGCTGCTTATCGTTCAGCCAACAACACGCCACTGCCGGTGTCGGAAACGCAGCAGCAGCAGCCACTGAAACCTGATGCCAGCATTTCGGTTGAAGAGCAGCAGGCTGTGCCGATAGCTAACAAAAATAAACAATCGAGCGGCGGCCGAATGAGGCTGACAGTTAGGGTCGAGAATCTTTCGGCGTCGACAGCGACAGAAGCTCTGAAAAAATCGCTTGCCTCAGTGGTTCCAAACAGCCCTTCAATGGAGTTGCAAGTGAAAGAGGTGACTGAGGAAACCAGCAGCAGCAGCTCTCCCCAAGATATTGAAGCACAGGTCGAGTCACTTGCAAGCGAAATGGCAAAGGCTGAAGAGAAGCAGGCTGCTGAGAAATCCGAGACACAGACTGACTCACTTGCTATGGAAATGGCAAAGTCAGAAGCCAACGCCAACATGGAAGCGGAGGCTCAGACTAAAACTCCAACTAAGAGCCCCGAGAGACGTGAGAGTGAAGATTTATTGGAGAAAGTGTATGAAGATATAGACACTATCGAAATTGCATCTGAACTGCTCAAGAGCGGAGAGGCACAAAAAGACAAAGAGTTGGATGCTGAGGTCGATTTGGAGCAGAAAATCATCGAGAATGCGGCATCCAAATCAATCATTGAGGCTGAAGTTTTTGAATCTCCAGCCTCTCCAGATCCAGAACCACAACCTCTAGATAGCAGCCCTTTAGCCCCCAAGCAGTTGATCATGGAAGATGAGCCGCGAGAGGAAATCCAGTCGCCCGATGCACAGCCAATGGAGAAGAACAACAATTCAGCCTTTAAGGAAATGGCCATGGAAGTCGATGCAGAGGAGGAAATTCCATTTGAAGATGCCGAGCCAATCGAGGGCTCCACCACCGATGTGATTGATGCAGCAGCTGAGCGCCAAGAGGAGGGGCCACTGGGCAGCCACCGGCTAAGCCATGGCATGAATATCATTGACAACGTTCAGCTGCCAGCTCTTACGCCTGGCGTCAAGGCACGCCTGGTGACATCGGACAGCGTGGATTCCAAGAAGTCGGTGTGCTTCGATAGCGACTCGGCAGACGCCGAAGCCGATAAGGTTAAGTTCCCTAAAACTCCGGCTCGTAGCAAGAGCAGACCAGCCATTGCGTTGGATATTTCGCAAATGATGGCCAAGGCGGACACTCCTACTCTGAAGCCAGATACAGATACTCCTTTAAGGGCAGCCACTTTAAAGGCGCGCAACAGTTCCACACCCATACCGAAGGATGATCGAGAGGCTTCCATGAGTATGTTGAAGCCAGCTCCGGCACGAATTGATTGCCTAAAGCCATGGGACCAGGTGGAGGCCGAACGTAAAGAGGAAGCATTAAAGGCGGAGAACAAGGACAAGGACAAGTCACAGCCCAAGCGCTCCAATAAGATTTCCAACGTACTTCGCATGAACAGCGACGATGAGGAATATGAAGACTTTGAATTCTTGTCCGAGTACGTTGACAACGAAGTGGAGGTTGCGCCTGATGATTACGTGTCTGGTGACTCCATGGCAAGCTCGGAGCGACGTGAAATCGAGGAGAATGAGATTATCGATGAGGGTGAATCTGTGGGCAGCCAAGACACCGATGAGTCCATCGATGAGCAATCCGAAGGTAACGATTCCTTTGTTGTGTCGGATACATCTGAAGTTGGAGAGCTTCGTTACTCCTCCAATGAGCTCGAGGATGAACAGGATGAGCACAGCGAAGAGAAGTCACCGAATGTCAAGAAACAACGTGCACGCATCATTATAATGGAATCCAGCGAAGACGAGCAGCCGGACGATAAGCCAGAGGAGAAGGAAAAAGAGGAGAAGGAGAAGCCGGAGCAGGAACATGCAGAAGTAGAAGAGAAGCAGCTGGCGATGCCAAAGAATCAAAGTGATTGCTCCTCGAATGCCAGCAAACTGAGCGAAGCTGCACAGATCTTAATTGGCAGCCAGGAGCATTACTCTACCTCTGAAACGGAGCTCGAAAACTCGCGCAAGCTCTTCCTCAACGAGATCAACAAGTCGGAGTGCTTGAATAAGACTGCTCCACGTTTGGACATGACTGCCATGGAGGTGGACTCCACAGACGATGATGCAGCGGACAACGGGGAGACTCCAAAAGCAGACAAGGGCAACCAGAGCGTCTATGAAGTATTAGACTCCGAGGAAGACGATGAGGAAGGTGCTGAGGAAGAGCAGGTCGCGTCGGAGTCTTCTTCAAAGAATAAATCCTCATCCTTTGTGCGTCAGCAGAAGCAAAAGGTCAACGATGAAGAAGCCGTGTTGGCCGAACTGGCGTCCAGCGATCTGACACATCTTGAAACCATGTTCAATCCGCTACAGAAGTCACGCCGCCAATCGCTGTACATGCCCAGCCCGGAGATGGCCGCCAAGGAGCCAAAGCTGCAGCGTCGCAGCGAACGGGGCATGGTCAACGACTTCTGCCCCTCTCAGTCCTTTGTCGAAATGTTGGCCGAACGCAAGAGTCATCAGTCGAAGCGCAAGCGCTTGTCCAAGAGTTTTTCAGGCGCAGCCGAGGAGCTGGAGGTCATAGAAGTTCGTCAAGATCACAAACGTCCCAAAAATACTCACAATGAGTCATCGGCATCAATGGAAGAGGAGTTGCACGTTGAAGAGATAGCCAGATCGGAGGGGCAACCCAAGGAACCAGAGAACAATGAGGAACTCGCTGCTGCCACAGAGGATATACCGCCAAAAGAGGAACCAGAAATGGTTCAATCGAAGAATGAAGCTGAGAAGGCGAAGGCTCAGCCTTTGGGTAAATGGTCGAAAAATGCTCAACAGTACATGGAGTTCTGTGACTTAATCCTACAGAGAGCCAACGAGGCCAAGTTGGAGCAAAAGAAACAGGTAAGTGCCTCATCACAGTCACCGATTTGTTTACGTACTAATTATTTTCCACACTTTGAACAGCAAATAGCAACGGGCAAGAAACAAAAGAAACCAAAACGAATTGTTTCCGAGGCTGTTCTCACATCGGTTGTCGCACCTCAGACAACCACTGCCACAGTCTCCTCCTCCACAGGCAACGTCTCCAAGCCAGTGCAACCCAAGAAGGAAGTGAAGCGTCTGCAGGCAGCTCGCCATGCAGTCAGTCACGCCGTAAACTTGTTGGTCCCACAGCCAGCGGCCAGCAAAGAGGTAAGAATCGAGTCACGAAGCTGCTCCTATCCTACAGATATTTGATCTACCAATCCCCCACCACAGCCTCGTTCGTTGGTTCGCAAATTGTCACCGCAGCCGCCGTTGGAAGCTAAAATGAAGACAAAGACAAAGGCGATTATAAAGAATAAGCAGAAGTCGCAGCTGGTGTCGCCAGTTAAAAGTTCGGATGAGGAGAATCATCAAAAGTCGCCTGTTGTCAACCGCATCAAGACCAACGCTGGCTACGTCACCGTTGCCATGGACGATGCTCGAGAGCCGCGCATAGAGCTAATTAAGACAAGGTCGGGCATTATGCGCGTGGAGCCCGCCACACCCACTCAAAAGTATTTCCGCGAGGAGCCTAACTCGCCGCCGCCAAATCGTAATTTCCGCGAGCTGCGTGTCCCAGCCCGCGGTGCTCAAAAGAAGTCCAAGCAGCAGAAGCAGCAGCCGAAAGGAGGCGGACATGGGACCACAGAGAATCCTGCCATGCTGTCGGCGCTGCGCTTCAAGGAGCAAATTTTTGGTCGTAAATAAGCTCATCATTCACACTAGACATTAAACACTAGACTCTAGTAGTATTACAAGAAATGGCAGGGCATGCAGGGCACATTTTTTCATTTTTGTTCTCTTTACCATCTTTATTTTCGTTCTATTTTGAATTCATTTTTTTTCTGATTTGAAATTTCAATGCAATTGGATTCGTTATCTGTGCTTTGTTTAATTGATGCAATCAATTTTTGTTTTGCATCTTCCCGAAGTAAATGCAGTTGGGCCTCTTGCACCTGCCCACGTGCACCTTGCCATAAAAGAAAACAAACTCTGTATTCGTTTTCACCTACCACAAATACATTATTATACGCCTGTTATACATTACAATCCTCCAAAACGTTTAATCTATGGCCAAAAATACTTAATTCTTCCAAAACAATGCTCTTCGGATTGGTTTTCAAAATAATGTTACCGAGTTGCCGCCAAATTCAAACCATTAATCGCACAAAAGTATCGATGTCTCTTGACTAAATATCTCAACCTTTTCAGTTTGTACCTAATTTTGTAAGCAATCTAATAAAAGAAGTCGTGAAAACAAGCCAATCGTGTGGGGAATTGATTCTTCGAAGGATAACAGTATAGCTGTCAGGCTGAAATTGTTGTTGGGTTGCTAGTAAAATTAAGCAGAAAGTCAAAATCGTGGAATATTGATATGCACTTTAAAATTCAGAGTTTCGATACATAAAAATGTGGTTATTTTTGAAAGTTCTAATTTGAAACGCAAAACAAGGCGGAAGAGCGTAAATTGCTCTAAATGACAAAAATGTGATATATACATATTATTTACGTTTTTAGGGCTCATAGTCCTAACTAACTTTTAATATTAATTTTAAACATTGAAATTCCATTTTCGAACTCGTAATGGCGTACTACAATCGAGCATAAGACTGTGTAGTTTCCTCACCACTGACAACTAGTGTAACCGTTAATCGTTTTATGCTATTTTTGTTCTTGAGTTTTAAAACTAATTTGTACACAGTCCAACAAAAGAAAGTCGTGAAAACAAGCCAATCTTATATAGAATTGATTAGTTAATCGCATAAAATTATAGTTTAAGCGCGGAGACTCATAACTAACTAGCAATATCAAATGGAACATCAAGATCGAGGAATATGATTTAAGACTACGGTATTTTTGCGGTATATTTTTTTAATAAGGTATATTTTGGTTTATTTTTGAGGGTCCGACCGTATATTTGATCGATAGTTCCGCGGTCACACTGTCTGCTCTCTGCTTTCCAACTTCATCCGCGCGATTCGCTGCTACAAAAATCCACTGAAATTGAAACAACAACACCACCGTCGCAGTCGAAGTTTCGTCTCAGAAGTTTCCGTTGATATTGCCAACATAAATAATATCCATATTGATATTTTCGACAAACAACAACCGTATATCAACATTTTGCGCGGTTCGTCGGTTGGATGCTTTTCGCTTGTTTTCCGTGTTAGGTTTTGAAGGTGTTTTTTTATTGAAACTGTGCGCGATTGATAAATGAGTCAAGATGATAATAAATAAAAGTCAAGCAGAATCTTAGAGGAATTGAATTTGGCTTGGCCAATATTGAGATTTGGTGAAGAGAGAGAGGCGGGATAAGAAGCAACGGTTAATACTTCCCCGTTGAATTTGGATCCGTGCAACGGTTAATCGCACAACGAAAGAAGCGTGAAGCAACGGGTAACGTGAAGAGGAGGAATTGATCAAAACAAAGCGTATGCGGCAGTAAATTCGGCAATTGGCAGAATCTCCCACAACTACACCAATCGCGAAAAACCCGCAAAACGCAAAATGTTCGAGCTAGAGGACTATTCGAGCGGCATACACGAGGGTTTCTTCAACAAATATGCGGTAAGTGTCGAGGGGGGTGGCGGCAACAGCTTAACGTTTTTGCAAATTTTGCCGGCCGGTTGCTCACACCGCACAGCAAACTCACCAACACACGCGCACGAGCGTTCACACAGTCGCAGGGGGGGGCTCACACCGACTCGGGCCTTTATCGCTTATTTTCAAATTTAACGTTCGTTTCGTCGACAAAGCAGCTCTCGGTGCGAGTTCTGTGCAGTTTTTTTTCCTAGTATTTCCGCACTTGACACTCCCCCTCCTGCATACCCACCACTCGCTCTTTCTCTCTCTTTTTTATATCGCCCCAAGAACAGTTTTCGCGTTCCACACATCTCACTCACTCTCACTCTCTTGTGTGACTTATTCGCCGCGCTCTCATCTGCCTGCTCACTCACTCCAAAGCTTTGTTGTTGATTTTATATTCGCCTTCGCCGGATTTAACGTATAATTTTGAATTTGAATTCGCTTGCAGTAGTTGCTAAGTATGAGTGCGTGGTGCGTATGTGTGTGTTGACTTTTGATCGTTAAGCTTTCAAATTGCTGCTGAGGCGCTCATTGAACTGATGATTAATGATCGGGTGGAGGGATGGTGTGCGGGGGGCCAACACCGGAACAGCAAAGCAAAATGAGGGAATTCTACTTCTACTTCCTCTTCTGAATTGCGATTGGGGAGTGGTGAGGTTTAATTTCGTGCGGTTATAAACTGTTCTGTGTTGGCTCTTATTATTTTTACAGCTGGGTGTTGGTGAGGGACTTGGCTAGGTGGAGACTCTTTTTAACAGTGACAGCCACTGTTAGCAGCTTGGCCGCTGCTAGCCCCTCTGTTGCTGATGTTTCTGTTGTTTGTACTAAAATAAAACGACATCGCACAACAAAAGTGGGAATCGTATGGAGGGGTTTGCCCAGTATTCCCAGCCTAATTCCGCTGTCTTCTGCGGATCCCAGCAGCAGCAGCAGCCCAAGACTGCCATTTGTTATACATAAGTCATGCGCAATTATTTAAGTTTATTTATTTATTGCCACACACACACACGTGAACACGAACATGCAGACATGTGTTCATAAGAGTGTACTTATGTATTTGTTGAGCTGCTGGTTCGTTGGGTTTCTTCTGTTTTGGGGTCTCTTCTGCTTTTGTGTTTTCAACTTTTGAAGGCCAAGCGTTCAACCTCGAACCGAGTTTTGTTTTAGCCAAGCTACAGCGAGTCCGGTAATAAGAGACAGAGATGGAGCCTCGGATGGGGATTCGGACTGGTCTGCCTGTCCAGCCCAGCCCTGACCTCCTGCAAAGTTGGGAACTGTTGAAAGTGCAGGAGCGGCGCCTGGTTTCCACAGCATGGGCGCCTGTTCAATGCAGCATGCAAAACTCCACACATGCAAAGGGATACACAACACACACATACACAATCGGAAGGGGGGGGGGGGGGGGAAACAGCCCCAAACCAAAAGGGTGAGGGAAAACTTCCTCCTTTGCCCCGGAGGGGGAACAAAAAAAACAAAAGGAAATAAAACCAAACNCCCAACGAACGTTTTTATCTGATGTTCGATGGTGTGAGTGTGTGTGTGGTTGTGGGAGCAAGACTGGGAAAAAAAGCAACAGTCAACATTCGCAAATCAAAAGCTCCCTCTCTCTTTCTCTCTCTCTGTGGCTTCCAGAGAATTAGCATGTTTCCGCAACCTTTGTTGCAGCAACACGGCGCAAAGAAAGACAACATCAAAGCGCTGACAAACTTCAAAGTTCAACGTGCTTTCATGTGCGCCGACTTCACCCAGACAGTGGGGGTGGGGGTGGTGGCAACGACACGCCCCCAAACACCTACCCCCAAAATGCAGAGCATAGCAGCGCCTATATGCAGGCAGGCTTGTCGTTGTGCTGCCGAATATGAGCTCCCAGCTGTATGCCGCATAGATTTTCTCACGGCCCCCACACACACACACACACACAAACAGGCACACAAACAGGCACACACATGCATAGATACAGATGGGAAATAAAGAATGAATAGAACAAAACAGTTTCAGATGAAAACTATAACAGTTACAGGGTCTGGCCAGCAAAATCGATTCCCTAAGTTCGAAATTGAGAGCAAATTGAAAACTACTCTAAGCAAAAAGTGCAAAGTGGAAGATTGACTTTGAAAATATAAAAGATGGAATCGAATCTTTACCTAGCAATTCAATCTCCACAAAAGTGCAAATCTTTGAAAAACTATAAACTAACCAAAATCAAGCCAATTTGCATAATTTGTACTTATGTATGTAAATATGTACACATGTACGCATATGTATAGGTATTTAAAACTTTCCAAAATTAAATGCCAGATGAGGCATCAAAGATTTCTCCCGATTGACTTAATGAATGAAAATAACCCAAGGAAGCTGCAAAATTTCGCACTAAAGGAAAGATTTAAAGACGATTTGTGCGACATGTGATGTTGGGCTAAGGATATATTCGGCTTGGGATTCTTACAGGCTACAGGGGACAGCAGGCAGGCAGGCCCTGGGATTGCGGAGAGCGACTTTTATTGCACCATAAAGTAATTTACAAACGGGCGCTCATGAGCCTAAGGAAGATGTCTGCCTACCTGAGTCGGCCTTCTTTTCTTTTTTGGTTTCCTTGCTTTCCTCCTTTGTGTGTCATTCCCGTCATTACGGGAGATTTTAAGGTGAAAGCGGGGAAAGAAATGCCAAACGGAGCAACAATAAAGGATGATGGCAGATGGAACTGCGACGAGCAGCAGCAGTAAGACAGTAAAGGAAAATATTGGAAAATATTTCGTATACAAATTGCACAAGGGGAAAATGCCGACATGTCCGGAGTTTCCTCTTGCTGCCGCTCCTTGCACACTGCTGCTGCCTTGCTTCGTTGCACAGCATAAAAAGGTCAATGGGCGGGCAGCTGCTTCCAACAACAAAAAAAGGGAGCAATAACTGCAGCAGGAGGCCCAGAAAGGAGCAGTAGTCAGTAGGGGTAGTGGTAGGAGTAGGCCAATCAACAGGCCGCCTCTTTGCTCCAAGGATATGGCTTTACGATGGGGCATGTCCATACCCCATGTATTGTGTGTGTCCCATATCGGTTTTCCTTATCCTGTCTGTGTACTTTTGCACGCCTGTTCGATGCATTTTTATTTCGGAATATTTTTTCAATTTTTTTCAAAAAAGAAGAAACAAAAAAAGGAGCCTAAGAGGAGGTGGAAGAGGAGCAGTACGTTCTTTTCGTTATTGGTTTTTGATATGTGGGTATAGTCTGCCACTGCTGAGCGCCTCATCTGTTGACTGGTGATTTATTGGACTCTGAAGCTATTAAAAAATTGTGAAGCATTGCTTTTCCCTCTCTATCTCTCTGTTTCTCTCCCACTCTGTATGTGTGGGCGGTGTGAAAAATGGAAGCAGCAGCGGAGGAAGAACAGTAAACTAATTAGAGAGCCAGGAAGTGTTTGTTTTCCGTTTTGGCAACGTGCAGCAGTACTCGCAACTTGCAACAGAAAACATCATGGGTTAGGGAAGGGAGAAGGGAAAAGGAGAGCAAAAATTGTAAGAGCAACACAGAGAGCAACCCCTGTGCTCAGAGCTGAGTTGTTGCAGCTGCCTGCCACTGCCACTCGAACACACAGCAGAGGGCATACCAAAAGGTTATCACACACAGATAAATGCAGCACACACACACACGCACAGACACACAAGAAATAAACTCAGTGGAAGGGTAGGAAAGCGGAGAGGGGAGATGAGCAGAGAGAACAGCAGTACAAGGGGAAAACTGAAGGAAACTGAGCGAGAAGAGGGGATTGCCTTAATCGAAACCCTTAATCATTTCATCATTGGGGTCCTGGCCCAGACCTACATCCGTATTCTTGTTGGATGATGATCATTCGTCTTCCTATCTGTTGGATGTAATGCTCAATTAAGGGCGGAAGGGGGCTGTGAAGGGCAAAGGGTTGCACAGAGCTATTGCCAAATATATATCAATATTGGAGGATTTAACCATGAAATGCGTATTCGATTCGATGTATGATAACATATGTCAGGGGGGGAAATTTCGGGGTATGTTTTATAAACTATGGCAAAGATTATTATGCAAATAAAAAATACACTAAAAGTGATTGATATTTTGAATGGTTTCAGGGAATATTCTTTACTAATTATAATCTAGACAAAGATAATGCAAGGGGGTAAAGAATATTGTATGCATTGAATTCATCAGTTCCTGTTATTATTTAGGGAATAGTTAAACAAGAAAATTGAAATCACTTATATTTTCATTTAAAATTTATCAACATTTCACAAAGTTCAATTAAATTTAAAAAATCTGGCAAAAATATGGCTACTATATAGCCAAAATGTGCACTAATTTGAGTGGAATCAAAGATTACATTACAATTCCGTTTACATTTATACATATTTCTGCCCTATTTTCCTTATCCTTTTTAGTTGTGCACATGCCCAAAAAAATCAATTAAACCAAATCGAAAAAAACTATTGTCTTCTCCTATTGACTTGGCCGAGAGAGTCTATAATCAATTGTTGAATGGAAGAGTGGCACAAACAGAGAGATGTGGCAGCTGGTGGCTGCCTCTGCTGCAATTCACTTCTGTTCGCCTGCCTCTGGAAGATTAGCAGCTGTCTTCTCTCTCACTTGGGGTCTCTGGTTGAGTCTTTTGCGGGTTGCCTGGTTTCCCCCTGCTGCATTCGTAAAGCAACAATTACACAAAAGCCTTGGGTCTCTGATGCCTGGTCCTGCACCTGCTGCCAGTAGGATGCGTCATCTGCTTGGAGCTAGTGCGTCATATTCAATTGCGTCAAATGAATGAAAATAGATGGAAAATAAATACAAATATGAAAAAGGCTGCACTTGAATGGCACTTAAATTGCCATGCCCCCTCCGCCGTTTGCTGCCACTGTCATCCCATTCTTCTGTATTTAAAAAAGCCATCAGACAGGCAACTGCCATCAGCAGGGCGTAACGGGTGTGGCCAGACAGTGGGTGGTGTGGGGGCGCAACGGAGTAGGTGGATAAAGGTGCGCACGTCCCCTTTTTATTCGGTGCAAGTATCTCACTCTCCCACTCGCAATGATAAAGGCTGCCAAAATGCTTCACCTCCACAAATTTATGATATCCTGTTGAATTATGCAAGTTATCACTCTCGTCTCATGGCGGGGCTCTCCAGAGAGTCCCTCTCCGCAGAGAGAAAGAGAGACAGAGAGATGAAGACAGAGATGTGTCTCAGCCAAAATATGCTGTGTGCTGTGTATGCTCTTCTCTATCGATTTTTCAGAGTCGCCGAATAATAAACATGATGGAGTTTCTCCCCCCCTTTGGGTGGTGATGGTGAAATGGTTCAGGGGTCAGGTCAGTTATGCTGCTCAAGGACACCTTGACATTGGAACACACTGCCGTCTCCTCATCCCCCAGAAGGAGCTCGCGCGCCTTTTTTAACAGCCTGCCTGAAAGCCGGTAACTGTTAAAAGTTTGCTGCTGGCTGTTAGGCGCCTACTACTAATCTTTCAGCTGCCTACTACGCTTTTTCCACACCAAATCAACGACAGCGCCGAATAAAGTCCACAGAAACAGCAACAGCCACACAACAGCAGCGGCAACAGAAAAAGTAAAACGCAAAAAGTACTCGATTTCTGGCTGTGCCTTTTCTGTTGCTGCTGCCTGCTGCCTGCTGTCTGTCTCTGTTTTCATTTTTCTGTTCTCAGACTCGCCGCATGGCCATGTTTTGTCGCCTACTGTACACGCTCTCTTGCCCAACTTCGCCTCTGTTATGTGCGGCGTTCTATGTTTCGTATAACTCTGCTGTGCTCTCTCACTCGCTCTCTCAGCAACTTCGCTCTGCTTCTCTTTTTCCCTGCTGGCGCACTGCTGAATGTTTCGCCGCAGCGCTGTCGGCGCAGGCCAGGCAGAACAGAACAGAGAAGTTTCCCCTTTTTTTTCGCCTCTCTCTCATCTTTAACTATCGTTGTTTTTGTACGGCTTTAGTTTCCATTTTTGTTGTACACTTTTTCCCATTTGTTGCATACATACACACACATATGCATGGGAACAGAGTCTCTTTTGTGGCTGCAACATGCTGCTAGCAACATGGTGTGCCCTGAAAGTAAATCTAATTCTGAGTCACTTCGGGGCGCCACCTCCACCTCCAGTTCCAACTCCTTCAGCCCCAATTTATAATGCTGGTCAGACATTGCATAAAACTTTCAATTTTGTCTGATATCCGGTTTTGGCGCTGACTGGAATGGCCTTCTGGATCGCCTCCTTCTTGTATGCACGTGTACATGTGCATGTATTTATGTGTTGGTGCATGTAATGTGTGCGCCTTACAGTGAAGACTCGAGACAATGAATTACACTTGATATTGTCTGTGCTATCCAAAAAGGCTCAAGGATTTTTCAAAGGACATTTTAATTATGGTGAGATGAGAATGGGTGAGGTGGTTCATAGATATGTTTTCCTAGATCATATTTTGTGCGGTATCCACTATTTTCCAATGGAATTAATAGTACCTCTTTGGGTACTTTTGGATCCACTTTATACAACGTTCCTTCGTGTACGCCGCAGCCTGTTGAAATTGTTTACATTTTAACGACTCCCTCCGCTGTTTCTGCTGCTGTTGTTGTTGTTTTGTGTGGTTCTGGTGTTGCAACATGAGTTATTTTTGTTGGTGGTCTGCTATCCCTGCCCCTGCCCCGTCGCTGTTGCACATCCATCGCACACACATCCCTCATCATCTCTTGTGTTTATGTTGTTTGTGCTATATGGCCCCTCTTTTTCTTCTTCACTATACTTCTCTCCGTCTCTTCCTGTTCATCCGTGCCTGCCTGTTTGCTCCGTTGCCTTTTTTGTTGTTGTTGTGCCTTTGCTGCCTGCCTGCTTGGCGCGCAAAACCGGTTTTCGGGCACATCTCTCTGCTCCTGACACATAGAAAATGAAAACATATACGAAGCATACATTCAAACATACTTATCTGTATGCATTCATATTTACATACATACTTACACAGGCATATCAGATTTAGGCAGATTCTGATTCAGATTCGTGCGACTTATGTTACATATTTAATGATTATAATGTATGTGTAAATATGTTTGTATGTGTGTGTGTTAGCTAATGAGCGTGAATGACTGTGTGTGATGGAATGTTCGACAGATAAGCGTTACTATAATTTTCTTGGCGATGGCATGAAAACCAAAACGCGGGAAAATAAGAATTCCTTGTAAATGGCGGGCAGTAGACAGCAGAGCAGAGAGCCTTGAAAAAGTTGTGGCAGATTGTGGCATACAGAGAGAACGAGACGGCAAACATAAAGTAACCGAAAATCAGATTTGAAAACCACTGTTATGTATGTACATACATATGTGTACACATATGTAGTACTTGCAATATAAACATGGTAATGCGCTCCTCTTGAAGTTTAGTAGGTCTGCCTCATCTGCCTTACCCTTACCCTACCCATTAAATATACCTTGTGTGGTCCAATCAGCTGTTGCAAGTGCCATGGCTGAGTCGCCTTACAACATTGGCCACGCCAAATTTACCGCGAAACATAAGCTGATGGAATGATTCACTAAATACTTATGTACATCACTTGTATCTTGCAGGATGCGGCTGGCCCTTCGCTGGACTTTTACGTTTCCGACTCGATGCAGGACATGCTAGACGTGGACATCCGTGCGGAAATAGCCAGCACATTGGCAACCTCCAGCGATTTGACCTCGCTGGATCACGCACTAGAGACCATTTCGGCCATCAACAACAACACAAGCAGCGGCAGCAGTCTGCCATTGACATACAACACAAACGCGAATTTCCTGGCCAGCAGCACGCTGCACGCCTCACCCACAGCCAAGTGGATGGGTTCCTCGGCCAACTTCTGGTCGAACACCGACTACTACGCTGATCTGGGGGCCTGCGTCAATCCCATTTCGGTGATGCCGCTCATCAACTCTGCCTCGTGCTCAGCTTCCTCCATGCTGGGCTCGCCACGCAGAGGCAAGTCTGCCACGGCCACACAGTCGCGGGCTGTGCCGGCATCGCCGTGCGCGGACCGGGACCAGCACAAGTCACACCTGACCTTCTCGCCGGCACAGATGAAGGTCAGCGCTGGATCGCTGCGGCGGGAGCAGGTGATGGCGCACATACCCAAACAGATTTCGGTGGTAACCGGAACCGGGAGCACGGCACCGGGCACCATGGCCACAAATTCGGTGCTGCAACGCCGCAACTCCTCGGCGGTCGATGCGGTCCGCAAGGATCTGGGCACGGAGCTGCGCAAGGCCCAGTCCAGTCCGTCCGAGGAGGGTGGCCAGAAGTCGAAGACCTCCTCCACCCTGCTCACCACCGGAGGCGTGTCCACCAACACGATCAAGCTGGCGCCCGGCATCGGGGGCCTGACTTTCGCCAACAGCGCCGCCTACCAAAAGCTGAAGAACCAGTCGTCGGTCAAGTCCTCCAACGGTTCGTCCCCTAATACGGGCAACGGCATGGTCCTGAAGCGAGAGGAGGCCGCAAAGCGCGGTTTGCTGCAGCAGGGAAGCACCACACCAAAGAGCATCGCCTCGTCGGCCCATTCGCCGCACCATCAGATGCAGAGCCTTGGCTCGCCATCGTCCGTCTCGTCGATGGCCTCATCACCGCTCAGCAATGGCAGCAACCTGGTCAACATCGCCAACAACAGCAGCGGCAGCGCTGGTCTCGTCAAACCGCTGCAGCAGAAGGTCAAGCTGCCGGTCGTGGGCAACGCCTTCCCCAAGCCGGCCTACTCCTACTCCTGCCTCATTGCGCTGGCCCTGAAGAACTCGCGGGCCGGCTCGCTGCCCGTCTCGGAGATCTATAGCTTCCTGTGCCAGCACTTTCCGTACTTCGAAAATGCGCCCAGTGGCTGGAAGAACAGCGTGCGGCACAATCTGTCGCTGAACAAGTGCTTCGAGAAGATCGAGCGCCCGGCCACGAACGGCAATCAGCGCAAGGGCTGCCGCTGGGCCATGAACCCAGATCGTATCACCAAGATGGACGAGGAGGTGCAGAAGTGGTCGCGCAAGGACCCATTGGCCATACGCGGGGCCATGATCTATCCAGAGCACCTGGAGTTGCTGGAGCGCGGTGAGATGAAGCACGGATTTGCCGACTCCGATGTGGAGCTCGATTCGACGTCGGAGATCGAGGAATCATCTGATCTCGAGGAGCATGACTTTGAAGACACCCTTGTGGATGCGATGCTCGTTGAGGAGGACGAAGATGTCGTTGATGAAGATGAAGATGACGATATACTGAGCGAGTTCGATGCCGAGGATGAGCCACTTGCCAGCCACCCCTCTGCCAGCCAGTCGAACCACCACCTGCCCCTTGATCACGCCCTGCTCGCCCAGAAGAGCAGCGACTTTGACATTGAGGTGAGTTTGGAGAGGCACCTGGTTGAGAAGTCGTCGAAGCTATACGAGAAGGTATCTAGCCTTGTTTTCCCCACTCTGAACTTCCCTTGTCTGACGCTATGTCTTCCCCTTTCGCAGGTCGATGAACTGTACGATTCCATTGACATCGAGGACGACAAGGAGGCAGTACACCGCGTCATTGCCAGCGGCCAGGGCTCGCACATAATCGAGCTGAATCCGGCCGATCTGAATGCCAACCACAATGGCTACCACCACCAACAGCAGCAGCAGCAGCAGGCGAAGCGCGCCCGTCTCGATATCAATTATGCCATCGGTCCCGCCGGCGAGCTGGAGCAGCAGTATGGCCAGAAGGTGAAGGTGCAGCAGTTGATGCAGTCCCAGCCACAGCCGCCCACATATAGTCGCCGCAAAATGCCGCTGGTCAATCGTATCATATAAAGAGGCAAAGCCCAAGCCCCCTGCAAAAAACCACATACCATGCACCACATTCGTAGCATGGATGTTTCACGAACACACATTATATAGCATACCTTAGTGCTAGGTACACGCTACATAGTATAGGAATCCCCCCACATGCTACGCTTAAACGTATCCCTAAGAACATTTTCGGTAATCTGTTGTCAGTTGTACCATTCCCCTTTGTAACCCAAAATATCCATCTCAACTGATTGAAAATCAGACTATACAATTTATTATTTTGGAGAAGAGATCTCCACTTAAGCTTACTTTGAATCTATTTGTAGTCCTTATAAATCTCTGGTCGATATTCAAATAAATCTATACAAATAATTGTACAAGATTTCTCGAAAGTTTTGAGCCACTCCAACACTTGACGATGCGTGGCCTTGGTCCATGTACCCAATCTCCCCCATGACGCTTGAGCAGATGAAAGAAACTCTCAACCATGTGCAAGTTCCAGTAGTTAGTCCTGACGATGCATTAAGCTATCTGTAATGTTAGTTCTTTTCCAGTTTTGTAATTTCTATTTTGATCTCCGCCCCCCTCCCCTGACCCAGACTAGCGGTTAGCGATTTGATCCTTGACAAAACTTAACGAAACTTCTTGACGCAGTTATTATATATAGAGTATAGAATATTGACAACGTGAAACAACGATTTTTGGACAACGAAATGGGAACACTATGTTCACTTTTCCACCTTTTGTTAAACTTTTGTATCCCAAATGTGACAATTTGCAGCATTTGCAAGCATTTTTCAGCGCATCTGAATGCCGCCGATTCCGATTCCGAATCTGAATTCCAACTTAAAGTTAGGTAATGTTGTATAAAAAAACAAAACACCACAAACAACACACACACATATAAACAACTTGCCGGTCCAGTATTCGCATGCGGAATTTTTATAGAACTTTTGTATGTATTTTGTACTATAGTATCCTATACGAGAAAACGAGAAAAGAATCTACAATTATTGCTGGAAAGAACAGTCAATTATTTTTCCGAATATATATATATAGTAGGATTGTAGTGGATGTAAATAGTTTTCACACAATTTAAGAATAGGAATAAGACTAAAGAATAAACATTTGTATACTATATGTGAAGTATATATGCTAGCTATATCTATAGGCCGTAAGTGAAATTTGTATGTAAGCCAAACCACAGCCTGTATTCCAAATGAAACGACAGGATCCACAAACCAATAAGACTTGAAGCGAATTTTGATCAAGCCTCAGATTTAAAATAGTACAAAGAGCCGACTAGTGTGTACGGACAGGGCAGAGCAGATAAAACGTTGCCAGTTGCTAATGACTGGTGGAGTTTTGCTCACTTGAATATAAATCATTTTTTGTTTTGTTTGTTTTCCTAACTGTAACTTTTTTGCATTCAACTATTCCACGAACGAAATCAACACAACATTCATACACTTTTTTCGTTGTAATACTAGCACTTAAGTAACATTAAACAAATTATACTGATACCCATTACCATATCCATACACCATACATCCGTACACCCATACCCGATACAGATAAATACCTATGTAAATGCCTAAGCTAAGAGAGAACAATTTTTGTATAGAGTTGTTAGAAAATCAATTGATATTGAAAGATTGAAACCAAAAAAAAGAATATATGAAAAATAAAAAATTGCTATAAAATTAAAAAAAAAAACTCGAAACTGGATTATTATTTTGGCTTTGAAGCTTCTTCAATGGGTTAATATCTTATAAGGTGCTTAAATTATAATCGATTATTCCATTCCTTCACCAAGCAACAAAACAAAACAAAACAAAAAATTTTGGAAAACAAGTAGGCGTTTGCTGGTTTTAATTCACGAAATTCATGTGTGAGGTTCCTGTCAAATTGTCAGCTTCAGTTGCTATAAAGATTTTCAGTGTGAAGGTGATCGTTTCAAACTAAAACATTTTTAGTTTAAATATCCGAAGAAAAAACTGGCAAAAAAATATTTCGAAGATTTTCAGTCATGTCCGACAACTTAAAGAAACTCGGCGAAAAGAAGGACGTGCAGGAGTCCGCGAACCAGGCCACTGCTTCGTCATCGGTCCAAAAGATGAAGGAGGAGGATGACGACCCGAAGTGCAAGGTGTGCAAGGAGTCTCTCAAAGAGAGTGCTGATGTTATGAAGACATTGCCCGGCATGTGGGGGGGCAACAAGGTAAATGTGTAATGCCATCCCATGCATTCGCAATACTTATTTTATCCACCTGCAGGTCAAGGGCGCCTGTGCCTTTTGCCTTTTCGGGCTGAGATCCTGAACATTTCAGACCAGCTACACGCAGCCCATTTCTCGTTAGATGAAATTGTGGTGCTGGATTTACACATACAAAAGATTAACAGAAGAAGAGAGAAACTCTGGGCTTGAGTAAAAATAACAAACATTACAACATAAATAAACAAATGACAGATAAACACTACAAGTACTTCTCATATTTAATGGATGGCTTGCCCTAGTTTGGGAACGTTTGACACTTTCTGTTCTGTGTCCATTTCATAGAGACTTACGTATCTTCCATAAGCAATACACTGATTTTGGTTCTTTTACCATCGTATGGCACTGGAGCACCTAGAACCAAGTTCGTTAATCAATAAACAACTTTCGTTTCATTTTTAAAGGACAATTTTTATTTCACATTTATAAATAGTTTTCGACATTTCAAAAGTTTTGTTATTTGTTTTCCCTTTGCGGTTGTTGTTCAACAACCAATAAAACTTAGGTTTTAGCTAAGCAATTTGCATATTGAGCAGATCGTAATTGAGCATCGCTGCCTGGACAGGAGCAGGAGCAGTGGCAGGGGCAGGAGTGGACAGGACAATGGTGAGAGAGGAGCACTGCGTCAAAGATATCAATGTTGTTGCACATGTCCCCAGTCCATTCACTGCCGCACCGGACAGATTCGACAAGAGCCGAATATGTATTGTGTGGTTTGCTCGCCCCTGCCCGGCAGAGATAATGTCAGATGTGTGTGCTTTATTTAGGACTAGACAGTTGGATGGAGCACAAAGCCATCCGCTTGGTTACTCGCTTGTGCAAAGCAAATCGCATTTTGGTTTGGTTCGTTTGCATCTTGTACTCGTACACATAAAATGGCATAAAATACTTTGAAAAGCGCCTCTGTTAAAATATATTGTATGCCGCTCCCCTCGAGCATTTTGTAATAAAATTATCCACTTGTAGTTAAAATATACATATTACATTCATGTTTCTTAAGCTCTAAATATATATCCTGTATACTATACAGATATATGGTATAGTATATGGTATAAGGTATATGGTAAATTGTATTGTTTCAAAATTGAGTGTTGATTTTTGCACATTTAAGGCCTGTTGTTCACTTAGCTTAGGTTTGAGCTGGATATTTTTTGTTTACTTTTATGTACGTTGAGCAAGCTGTTTCGCTAAAATCTATAAAATCGAACTCTCTCGCTTTCGCTTTCAGTGTGCGTGAAGTGATCAATGTGTGTGGGTGTCTTTGTGTGTGTTCTGTGTATCTATGTGTGCGAATGTGCGCCGTGCGCTGTGCGCTGTGACATACAAGATACAAGATACAAGATACAAGTTAGTTCATTGAAACCAGACAAAACTGATGCATTCTCCGCTCTTAAACAAACACAAGGAATTAACATTATCGCTGACAGCTGTAGTAGACGACAGTAGACAATAGACGTTTGAGTTAGACATAAATTACAGATATTAATGCACATGTACTTAAACTAAAATGTATCTTATGAATACACGGATCGATCAGAGATCAGATCAGTTGATCGGGCGGGCGGGCAGGCAAGGCCAGGCGTTGCTTTTGCGGCTTACGCCTTGCTGCCGCCGGCTGCCTCCTGCCTGCTGGACGGCTCTTCACTTCAATGCGGGGGCAATGCTCGTATCTCTCACTCATAGCTATGAGTCTTGAGTCTGCCTAGAATGTTATTACTAAAACTGATCGACGACTGACTACGCTTAGAGTCTGGGAACTTAGGACTACAAACTAACACACGGACACGTACAACACACGGGTACATCGACTATTAAATGCAGAGCTGAATATATGGGTGACAGGGGGACTGGTGCACACTGATCGGGATAACAATTACGCTTTAACGGATTACATAAAATCGTTTACTATGAATACTAGTTTCATTGCTTCCACTTCCACTTTCACTTCCATTTCCTCAACTCATTCCTGCTTCAGTCGCTTCGCCTCGTTGCCAACATCCCCGCCACTGACCGAACTGGGAGTATTCTGCTGCTGCTCCGTTTCGCTGGTTATGTACGCAAACTGGCACTCGAATTCAAAGTCCATCTCTTTCTTCTGGGGAACATTGGTACGATTAGTGAATCAGGAGTGATAAGGGCATGCCAAGGAATCTTACCATGCGCTCACATATAACCGCTATGGCCGTCTTCTGCTGCGCCTCGGCTATCTTGTGCTCCACCAGATAGAACATGTACTCATCGAACAGCAATCTTATCAGGTGGAAGCTGCCAAAGCTTGAGGCCGAGCGCAGCGTCAAGTCCCGAATGATCATCGAGCTGTAGAAGCTCCACTTGAGCAGGAATTGACGGGCGGCACGTGCATATGTTGGCTTGCCCGTATACTCCTCCATGGCTGACTCGACCACGAGCTGCAGCCAGCTGGCCCACTGCTCCAGCGAGCTCTGTTGCTGCAGTGCGGCCTTGAAGTCGCTCTCCAATCTCTGCACCACAGACGGAGCACACTGACTCACCCAGGCGGCTTGTTCCTGCATGGAGAGGGAGAGGGAGTGGGGGAGTTCGCTGTTCAGTCTCGGATAACTTTGATTTATTTCATTGCTCAACACTCACCTGTACATTGTGGAAATCCACGCGATTCAGATCGCTCAACATTTGGGAGATTTGTGCTCCGTTCTGGAGCACGGCACGTGCGGCCTGCGCCAAATGATTGAGTGAGGTGTAGCGACGCAGTGTCTGGCAGAAGGCGGAGACGGAGCTGGTCTTGATCTGGGCCAACTGCTCCGGCACACCCATCATGCTCTCGCACAGCCACAGCTCCAGGTTCTTGGCAAAATTACGTATGGCTTGGGTCAGGGCATTCGGTATGGAGCGCAGCACATCGGGAATAATGACATCCACTGTGTTCTGGTAAAACTGATAGTCCACCTGCATAAATATTCCATTAAACATTAATACAGAGTTCACAGCAGAGTTCGTATGCAGAAAGTACCCACCTCGCGTACGAATTTTTGCACTTCTGCGCAGTGGCACAACAGATACAGCTTCGTCTTGCTCAAGTACTTCTCCTCCTCGCACTCCTCCAGATTGTTGTTGTCGCTGGCACGCCAGAAGTCGCGCAGCAGAAACTCCACGGTGCCAAATTCCAGATTCAGCACAGCATCCAGGAAGGACTCGCAGTGCTCACGGTACAGGGCCCTAAACGTGTCCACATCCTCCAGCGTTAGCTCAGTGCTGAAGCTGTGACTCAGCTCGATTGGCGGAAACGAGGGTAGAGCGCTGCTTCCATCGCCAATGTACTAAAGAATGGAGGAGGTTAGGGGACTGTAATTCAGTTATTCGTTTGAGTTTGCTCACCTGGATGCATGCCTCGTAGGTCTCTGGCTTGAAGCTGTGCTTTTTGGACGTGCCGTTCCGCTGGCTGGTGGATCCGGCCATGCCCATGCTGCCATTGGAGCCCGCCATCTGGCTGGAGGTGCTGCTGCTGACGTTAACCAGGGCCCCGTTGCGGGAGACTGGCCCGTAGCCGTGCATCGACTTGTTGTCCTCCATGGAGTGGTGATTCAGCAGGGAGCCAGGCTTGATGCGAATGCCATAGTAGTGGTACTTGGAGTTGCCGCGCGTACCCAGGCGACGTGTGCGCAGGCCGGAGAACACGGAGCGTATCAGCTTGCCGAAACTGGCTGCATTCACGGGCTCCAGCTTCTGCTCGTTGCAATGCTGCATGTAGTGGTTGTACAGGGTGGACCTGGGCAGGCTGACACCGTCGGCCGTCTCGTAGTTGCGTGACAACCATTTGATCTGCCGGCGACAGAGAGAGATGTCAGTATGGCTGTGATGCTGTGATGCTGCTCGAGGGCGGAGCGTAACCAGGGAAACCCATCCATACTCTGGGATGGGACTACCTACCGTTGCCGAGGCAATCTTGTTGCTGTTGCCGAGCGCACTCTGATCCGAATCGGGTGAGGCGCCTCCGCCGCCCGTCCCGAGGCTGCCGCCGCTGGCCGAGTTGGTGGTTGTCGTCGAGGTGGGCGTCTGGGGCGTGCTCTGTGCCTCCTGGATGTAGGCAACCTCGTGCTGCAGCCCAAGGGTGGCCCAAGGGTTAGTCAATGTTGTCACAGTTGGCTCAGGTGGCTCCCACTCCCGTCCCCGCTCCCTACTCACCGTCAGGCTGTGTGGCGAGTCGCGGCTGTGCGACTGCGAGGAGCCATTCAGCAGCAGGCCCTCCTCCACGGGCACCAGGTAGGGCAGTGTCGTGGAGTGGGCCGCATTGCCCGCCGTACTGCCCCCAGCCGACGGCGTCGTCGCCGCATACTGGCCCGTCGACGTGGTCGAGTAGTATGTCTGACCATTGCCCTGGTAATCGCCCACCGGGCAGAACGGATATGTCCTGTGGAACGGGATGGAAACGGAGGCGAAAACGGAAAGGTCAAGCGTTGTCATGTGCTGTGTGGGTCAACTGTGTTTCGCCTTCTTCTCCCATCTTGCCCCCCGTTTTTGTGGGGGGTCTCTGGGCTTTCTAATGATTTCTAACGATTGCTTACATTTGCGTCTGGCTGGAGTTGCTGTGGTACAGCTCCGAGTCCACATATTGCACCTGGTAGTTCTGCTCCTGGCCGGAAACTGAAAAGTTAACAGAGAAACGAGGGAATTAGCTTGGTAATATCTGTGTGGAGTATAGTTAAAGCTGATTATTATAACAGAGATTCCATGCCGACAGCGCGAATAGCCGGCGGCATTTAGCAAAGACATTCAAGATTGTGGCAATAGGAAAATACCGGAACCGTTCAGAGGATAATCCATAAACTTATTGAAACTAAAATCTAATTTGAGGCCGTTTTTTCTATGGGTTCCATTTGAAGATTCATTGTAAAACTTCTCCCATTGCGCCTAAACTTACTATTCTGCAAACAGCAACAGAATACAATACAACAGAAGCATTTGGTTGTATCAGAGATAATCCTTTAACATGTTTTTGATAGCAAATACGAGTTATAAAACCTTAAGAACATTTAGTCCAACAAAATAAATCAATTTAAAGAAGAACAGTGATTCCCATTTTTGGGCTGTTTAAGCCATCATCCGTAAGATACAAGAGTGAGTATGGGCTAGATGATTATTTATGAATATTTTTATCAACAGATTGAGCACCCAAAAAAGTCTACAATGCTGGCTGGAAACTGGTAAATTAAGCTGAAAATATAGTTTTAATTGTAAGTACGAAAGTACAACGGAAGTAATGAAATATTTAGCGTACGAATAAGCGGAGAAGAGAATTAGTTGCTGCAAATGCAAACTCTTACGCATGCATGTTCCCTATTTGTGTTGAAAACTTCCACACGTAAATACCCTAGACTTTGCTTAAACTTTGAAACTTTGAACCAGAGGCTGGCAGCAGAATGAAAGTATCCTTCTGACTCAATCAGCGTGGAAAGTGTTTTGTGTTTTTGTTGGAATAATGCTCTCAAGATGCCCAACATTTGAGTCTCGAATCTGTCTCGACTGGCCACAACCAGGCGGGCACTTGACACCTGTGCAACCTGCCGCAGACACGGATGCATCGATTGGGGGTGTTAAAGAGGAGGAGGAGGAGGAGGAGGAGGAGCAGGAGAAATATACGAGTATCTCTTGATATTTACCACCGCAATAGGACAAATTGTTGTGACGTCTGTGGTGGTGGTGGTACATGGTTGCGGTTGTGGCAGAGACACTCGCCGCAGAACCCGCGCCTGTGCCAAGACCCACCGAGATCGAGTTGGAGGCGGCCGCACAGGAAGCTGCGGCTGTGGAGAATGAGGCTGAGGCGACTGATGCTGGGGAGCCAGCAGCTGGTTCAATGGCCAAGGAGTTGCTGTAGCTGGCGCCGGCACTGGCACTGGTCGTGGCCACGAATGTCTGGTGATGATGGTGGTGATGATGGTGATGCAGCTGCAGCTGGAGCTGGGCGGGTGGCAGTGTCGGCGGCGGCTGGGCGACTGGCAGCGGCTGCTTGCAGCGGCACTTCTCGAGGAGACTCGTGTAGTTCAGCGGCGACGCCGACTCGAGCTTGTGATGATGGTGCAGGTGGGGCTGATGGTGTTGATGGTGCTGCTGCTGCTGCTGCTGTTGGTGGTGGTGACGCGTCTGATAGTCAAAGCCGTACCGCGAATGCATTCGTTTGGCTGTAGAAGCTAAAGCAGCTGGCAAAATGGTTTCACTCCGATTCCGATACTCAGATATGATCCGCAGCAGATCCCGGCTGGACCGCGTGGCGATTAATTGTTACGCTTGATCTTTGGACACTTGACACAAACAGCCAGCACATGACCGGATGAGGCATTTAGGGATACGTATGCAGATGAGAACGAGCGCAAGGACGGCAAGGAAAAGGAGATGCTGTAAGCCGAGACGCGACCTGGTTGCTTTGGGCAACTGCCCAACTGCCCAACAGCCCAACGGAGCCCGTGATGCCCGGAGAGACAGAGTGCCGGGCCGGAACTGTTGCCGAAAGTGAGAGCGAAAGTGAAATCTTCGACTGGCGTTGCCAACGCGTCTCGTGGGTGGGTTCAAGCCGAAACCGAAACAGGAGCAGGGAACAGGACTGGGCTGGGCTAGGCTGGGCTGGGATGGAAAGCTGGTTGCTGGATGGCTGGTGGCGTCGTGACGTCGTGGAAACGGAGCAGCCAGTACGTACGAACGGTAGAATTACAACTGAATCAAAAATCAAATGTTATCCTAGCAATATGCCTTCGAAAATAATGATGAGGACAACGGCAACGACGATGGCGACGACAGCGACGGCGGCGCAGCAACGAATTAAATTACAACAACGGCGACGGCTACGGCAACGGCAACGGCAACGGCTACGTTGGCGGATGAATGCTGCGGCAGTGGTTGGGTGGTTGCCCGGGCGCTCACTCGCTCCCTGTGGGTGGGTGGGTTGCCTGGCTGCTGGCATGATCCGGCTGCTGCGTGCTGGGTTGCTGGGATGCTGCCTGTAGCAAGTAATCCAACCCCAGCGACAAACCCCCGCGAACAGGTATTATTTTTCAAGCGGTGCCGGCTAATTCCGGGCTCAAAGTCGTCTTTCTGGGATCTGCACAAGTGGTGGTCTGGCCGCTGCTCCGAGCGGGACAGGGATGGCAACACGGTCCGGCGTCAAGGCAACGCAGCTCGGCCAATCCCAGGCAGCAGCCCCCCCACCCCACGCCACCAGACTTCTTGGTGGTTGCTAGGATTCCTGCTCTCTCGCTCTCACACCTCCTCCACGCTCTCGCTCTCGCTCTCGCTCTCGCTCTCTCACTCTGTCTCTCTCTCTCTCTCTCACTCGCTCTCAGCAACCCCTGAGCAGGATGCTGCGGATGTGGATGTCTCCTGGCCAACCAAATCGCTTGCTGCCTGCACGGCATCATCATCATCCTCCCCATGCCCCTCAATCTCCTTGCTTGGGGTGACACCCGAGGTTTGGGGGTGGCGTCTGGGGCGTGGGGTATGCTTTCTGGTGGAGAGACCAGAAGGTGGTACCAAGGAATGATGGATGCTATTCCGTGTGTGTGCGTGGGCAAGTGTATGGCATTTTTCCATATTTGGTTGCCGTGGTCAGGGGCACATTTTTCGGCCACTTATCCTGTTCCTGGTCCTTTCACTTCCACCTCCTCGGTGTCAGCGGTTCAAGTTTGACTGTTGGACATGACATGACATATTTCAGATATTAATTTTGGCCCTCCAGTCGGCCAGCCCCCCCAGCTTGCGGCTGGCACTGCCACCCACCAAGTTGGAAGCTTTTGCCACATGCCACGCTCAACAGTAAATATGAACAGCAGCCCCTCGGGCACTACCTCTGACTCTCTCCCTGCCCTCACGTAAAGGAGCAGCACTGTGGGACAGGTGCAGCATTGCAGGCTGGGCGCTGGACTTATTCACATTCTCCTTCTACTTCGCTCCCAGTCGAGCCGAGATCTGTTGTGGGGTTTTTCAAGTGGACCACATTCTAACCAAAACATTTTGGTTTTCAATGACTTTCGGATTGAGTGGCATGGAAATGGAAAGAATCAGGTGGAAAGCTTGCTTTGATAATTGACTTTTAATATGAAGTAGATTAGCACTCAACAAGAATCCGAATGAAGATTTTAAGGCCTCAACAACAGCTCTTGCCTTGGGCTTTCATCAGAGCCAAGAGGCTAGAGGATAGTGCTACGAGCATTTTCGGGGGTATAATGGAAGTAGTTCTTTAAGAATGTCACCCAGAAATGGACTACATTTTAATGATAGATGTTTGGCAGATTAATTGTGGAGATTAGCGTATTGTCTAGAAGCAAATAATAGAATTCGAACGGAAAGGACAGATCCCCAGACAATCGCATCCGGAGGATGAGAAGATCAAAATATTTTCGTACTATCAAATAAATTCATGAATTGCGAGTTATTCTTGTTAGTTGTTCTTGGACCAATTTCCATCACATAAAATGTTTGATTTGATGCCAAAACAACATACATTTCCTGTGCATGATTTTTTTTTTTTTTTTAAGTTTTTTTCTTGCATTTGTTGGAAATGTAAACAAATCAGATATAAAATCTCGTGTCCAATTCAACCATTTCCCTATGCCATAACATAAACAACGAAAAAAGATAAGGTCGATCCTTTGAATGTCGCTGACCCTTCCCTTTCCCTCCCTTTCAATATTGTGCCTTCGAACGGTTTATTACATTATCAACTTATCAATTTTTGAGCCATCTTTGCCACTTGTCAATTTTCCCAGTACAGACAGAGACAGAACTGGAGTGGCAAGAGCATCCACAGCAGCAAAACAAGTAGAAAAGATGAACACAAATTGCCAGGATAACGAGGATGGACAAGTGCAGGAGCACATAGACACGGTGGCAGAGGGAGAGGCAGGGATGGCAGGGGACTGCAGCTTATCCTGCAACATCTACTACAACATCAACAAACAATTAACCTTTCTGTCAGAGTCGGAAGGGATGAGCAGCATCATTCGATGGGGATGGGTGGAAGGTATCAGGCATGAGCTATGAGGAGCTGTCCTTTGTAGAGCTTCCTTTGCCGTGATGTCCTTTGCCAGATAGCCTTCATAGCCATGAAATTTATGAACTGCGACTCGCATTTATTAAATGAATTTCCGCTTATCTTGATTTTCCACACACAACTTTCTCCCGTTGTCGTTTGGAACAATTAAAAGAAGACCGTCATATGCTGATTTTCGCTCACTAAAGTTAGAAACTCCCACTCCGGTTCACCCACACAACTGGCCACCCACCCAGTGATTCCTTCTGCCCACTCCCAGCTCTTTCAACTAGTATGGATTCCTGTTTTGTAGTCGTATTTTTCCTATTTTTAGTTGCTGGCGTTATTACATTTTAAGCTCAGCTTCGTCTTCCGCCTCGTCGATTCGATGAGGACCTAGCAAATCCGTATCAATTGAAAAATACAATACAATATATTGTATCAAAAGGTGGACTGCCTGCCGAAACCACTCCTCAACACGAAGCGGGTATACACTTTCCCCCTGAAACACTTAACAGTCCACGAAGTAGTCTGAGATGAATGGAAAAGTTTCCATGCCCCGGCGATGGCCTGATGGTCTGAGCAAAGTATTAGCTGACAGCGGGCGGTTATTAGTGAGTCGTCGACTCATCCACGTGTGGAGTGCACATCATATCACATCACCCCTCGTCTAAGGTACATCGTTGAAGCCCTCTCAATTTGTTGTGATTACTCGGATGTTTGTCCTGTTAGGGTGGTGGTAATTTGTCCGCTAATAAAATCAAGTACCAGGGCAAACATTCGACCCTTTTCGGGGCTGTGGCTCTGATCCCGGCCGGAGATAGTTCCTCACCAAAAGTGTAATCTCGATTAATTCATTGTGCGGCACTCGAGTGGAATACAATAATTATGTGTGCAGCAGCAGCAGCAGCAGCAGCCAGATATCACTCGCAGTGTGTCGCCTTCCGCCCAGCTTAGTCTGTATGTCGGTGATTCCCAGCCCAGCTGCACACTTTGCAACAAAATGTGTTCCTCTTTTGTTACTTTGTTTTGCACGTGCCACGGACACAGGTAGCATGGTCCATCATCCGCCACGGGGTGGCGTTACCCATCCATCAATCCATCCAACCACCCATTCATCCTGTGACGGTCCCTGTCTATGTCTCAATCCCTGTCCCGGTTCCTGTCCGCCCTCATCTCTGCTCGTTTCAGTTTTCAAATTAAGTCGCTTTAATTGTGATATCAAGCAAGCGTTTAAAAAGGCCCGGATTTTAAGCTGGTCCTTATTTTCATCTCTCTCATACCCACTCCCCCACCCTCTCTCAAGGGACAGGACATGCTGATCCTGTCATTACGTTTGTTTCCAAAGCCGCGACTTTTGCTGTTTGTTGTTTCCTGTTGGTTTCCGCTTTGATGCAAGTGCAGTCATTGAAACCCAGTCCAGTCCTGTCGTTCTTCATTCGGTTTCGGTTTCGTTTTCGGTGATTCTCTTTCTGTTTTTGCAGTTTTGGTTTCTGTTCTGGCATGTAACCCCGAATAAATCGGCATAAAGCAAATTTGCACGTTTTTTGCCTGCCACAGGCACTTTTTTGGCGCTCATTAAAACAATTTGTGGCAACATTTTTTCAGTCATTCCGTCATCAGTTTTTGCAGACATTTTGTTTGTCGGTGAGCAGCAGCATCAGTTGATACTTTTCAGACTTATAACGATTGAAATCGTTTGCATTACGTTTGAATTGGCAATAATAATCCGTAGAAAATACGCGGAAAATCGAGTCTGAGTCTGCATGTATATAGCAGCTACTCAAAATCCGAGTAAAACGCAGAATGATAAGCAATTCATTTAATCTAATCGATTGTAGAATCGTGACATTATAAGGGGAAGTTTAAGGAACTCTCTTTCCCAGAGTGGCTTTGCACTAAATTTGTATCTCAAAGTGGTTTTATGTGAAAGCTTTCTGCCACCACTCTCTGCTTTCTCTATCTTCACAGCTGTCTTGTAAATATCAATTAAAATTTGTTGACCTTCCGCATTAATTATAAACGTACAAAGATCGGCAGATCTCTCACACATGTGTAAGTCCCCTGAGATCTATCTTTAAGACGGACAGACAGGGTTATATCTTTGAAGCTTTGTTATGTGAGTTTATGAGAACATTTCTCACATTGATTATAAAGTAAATCAGAACTACAGATGGTACGCACCCGTAACGGTGATGAATGGCGTGCCGTCATCATCCTCTGTGGTCTGCACCACGGTCACTTGGCCATTGGCCACCTGCTGGGCCAGATCGACGCCATTCTTGATGGCGCTTAGGTCCGCCATGCTGTGTATGGGTATGGAGTGGGTGATGGTGCTGCCATTGGGCTCTGTGGTGGTGATGGTTCCGGCGATGTCGCTGCTGCTGCTGTTGACCAAATGCCCATGAATATGGGTGTGAGCCTCGTTGCTCGAGTCGCTGGCATCCATGGGCAGGACGACGCGTATCACCTCCAGCTGCTCGGCTGCCGTGGCATTGCCCGTGACTGAGTCGTCGCCTTCGCTTAATTTCTTCTGCAGAAGCTGGCAGTTCTGACAGGAAAACAGAGTTAGTTCCAGCAAAGATTGGGGCAGCTGGGCAAGGACTTACCTGCGTCATGACATCCTCCAGGGTGGCGGAGACAACAACACCATCCTCCGTGCAGAACTCGAACTGCTCGGCATGCGTGGGCGATGCGTTCACGGAGCTCGCTGTGGTGTGGTTGTTGTTGTTGGTGTTGCTGTTCTCCACCTCAACGGTCAGCACATCCTCCTGCAGCAGCTGCTGCTGTTGCTGCTGCAGCTCCTCCACTGTCTCCGCCTGGATGGCATCCACAACGACGCCACTGGCGCTGGCACTGGCCACGGCAGAGCGCGTCGAAATGATGAACTGACGCTGGGGTGCCAGGCGCGTGGTCATTTGCTTACAGTTCTATTTATTTCTACTTTGTTTAGGTTCCTCCTTTCTTCCTTCCTTTTCGTTGCACTTTCAGTGTGAAATTCCTTGGCTTTTAAGCTCGCTCCCTCTATCTCTCTTTCTTTCCTCTGTGCTGCCGTCTCTTTCGGACGTAAGGCAATGGCGGTGGTGCGTAGGTTTATTTTATTCACTTGATTCTGTAGGTTTCCTTGCCTCTTGTGGTTGCTGCTGCTGCAAGGAAAGTGAAATTCATCAATTTGTGTGGATAATAATGCTGCCCCCAAGTAGCAGGTCCTCAAGCAAGTATCAACCCCCCTGCCCCCTACCTTCTGCACCCTTAGGAATCTATTGTTGCCTACCCCCGCCCCTCTGCTGTGTGCTGCTGGTGGGGGTGGTGGTGGTGGTGGGTGCTGCTTCCGCTGGGGCGTTGCTATGAAATTAAACTTTTCGCAGGTATTTTCTTCCTGCTTTGATTTTCTCGGCGGCTTTGTTCTCTGCGTAGCAGCAGCAGCAACTCCACAACAAGAATGGTATATAAATACACACAGCACACATATATTTGCAAGTACAGTGGAACCACAGGTGCAGGAAAGTCTCCTTTGTGCTGGTAAGGGTGCCCGCACGGCAGGAGTTCACTGTGTTCCGTGTATATCCTTCGAACAATGGCATTTTTGGCCGCCATTTTGATTTGCCTGCAACTTTTTTGCGGCATCTTTTATCACCGCTGTTGTGTAGCATACATTTGGGGGCAGCAATTTAAGGATTTCACCAAAAAAACAGGAGCGTAGTCAAGTGCAAAAAGCAAAAGGAAACATACCCAAGCATCACTACATCAAAAACTGAAGCAAGAAGTACACAAACCTCTCACTCTGTGCACGAGTGGGGCACTTACATAATCCCACACACCTTTTGAAAACACGGCTACGATGCCTCTGGGCCAATTAAACGAGCGACAATGCCAATTGCTCGAGGCAGCACAAAGATTGCCTTGAATCAATGATGGATTCAAGCGTGTAATACACATTTCACTCTGCCGTAATATCATCGTTAATTACAAGAGTTCTTGGCTGTTTTTGCTGACTATTTTCATGCACATTAACTGCGTATTTTCCTTAGTTTATGGATGCAAAAGTTTATCAATTGACGCTCTGGCTCTGGTTCACTTTTCTCTGATTTAATTATGTTTTTCTCAATGACAGAAAGAGCCTTTTAATTGCATTTTGCTCGGCGTGATGTTTGACGACGCTATTGGCTTACATTTTCACACTTCTTCCTGCACTTTTGCGCTGGGGCCACTTGCTCCCATGCACTTGTTCTCAGGGCAACCGGCTCAAAGTAAATAAGTCTGGGAGGGCATGCCGCTGGCAACGTCAACGTCAAACGTCCATCCCGAAAGGGTATTCCCATGAGATAGTAGAGTTGGGGAGCAATGGGGATGCCATAGGGTTGGCTGGTGGGAGCACGGACAGGACAAACGGCCCGGCATACGTCACGTAGTTTGGAGTCGAGCTCTAAAAGTTGTTGTTTATAGACAATAAACGAAGTCCGGGAATCGCTGGAGTTCTTTATAGCGGCAGTCGGGGGTGGCAGTCTAATGCGTTGTTCCGCACCGGGACGGAAATGCAAAAGTGCCCGGGGGGGGGGTCTGGTCTGGTCTTTCAGTGCACAAATCAAACGGCGTGCGAGTCGAAGCTCATAAATTTGACGCGTGAAAAGTGCAGCTTTTCGAGGGAAGTTTTCCAGTCACGACACCCCCACACAGACACACACACACACACACACATTGTTTACACCTGTACACACACACACACACACACACACAGAGGCACTGTGCGCACACAGATACACCTGTAAAATAAATCACTAAGGACGCGCAATGGCAAATTATTGATCAAATAACTTCCTCTTTTTTTTGGTTGTTAGATTTTTTTCCGTTCTTGGGGATTTCCATTTTGTATACCTTCGAATAGAGTTCCGCTTTGAGAGCTCCGGACTTGGGCTCTATCGTTTCCACATTAACGAGTTGTGTTATGCAGAAAATATTCTATTGTTTTTCTAGTGCGATTGCCAGCGGCTGCGGTATTCAACCCGATTGCTGCGCTTTGTTTGAGCGTGTAAATGCAACTACAACATGGGGAAAAGTTTTTCCCTCAACTGGCCAAGAGCCAGGGCCAACAAAGGCAGCAGCAGCAGCAGCCAGTGCCAGTGCCAGTGCCAGAGCATTGGCAATGACAATGCCATAGGGGGTGGATAGTTTTGGTAATAGGGAATCGGTCAGAACGCCAGAGCGAGATGGAAATTCATTTAAATTTTGTGATGGAATAATGGACTCTGAAATGAGGCGGTTTACGAACACAATCCACATGGCACACATGGCTGGTCGGCTCCACAAGGAGAACAAGAGAGCAATAGAATCCGAATGCTAGAAAACTGAAATGAAAGGACGATTGGCAGGAGTGTGTTATTGTGTGTGCGTGTGTAGCTTGAAGCGGGTGCATGCATAGCTGGCTGCATTTTGGACATGGCATTGACCCCTTTTTTGGAATGTCCACCTACCCCCGAGCCGGGCCATGGATCTCGGAGGAGGCAGCTCCGATGGCAGCTGCGTTGGCATAGGAACAGGGAGGCGGAAGCTCACAGACCGTGACGCTTTCTTTGCATGTTTTCATACTCAGCCAGGGTGCCAACTGCAACAGCAGCTCCAGGTGGATGGAATCATTTGGCAGGACGTGGCACATGTCACATCTGGTGAATGAATGCAAGGCCGTGCCATATGCCTGGCATGCAGTTGATTGATATTTGAAAAATTTCCTTCCTTTGCGTCCTAAAGCGATTGCGTATTCAAGATAGTTATTCTTCAAGGCTCAAAATGATGGGGCATAGCCGAGTTTCTCGTTTTCAATGAAAAATTATGCTACTTAAGTATTTTGTATTAAGTATTGATCTCACACCAAAACATTTGCTAAAATGTGAAATAAAATTATTTGCTCAAGAAATGATCAATGATCAATCAATTGTTCAATTTATCTCGTAGCGAGTGGTCTCTGAATGTATTCTTCGGTTTGCTTGTGGAATAATTGTGCAGAGTGTAATGGAAATATTAGTCGATTCTCTCAAAGAAGGGATTAGAAGTTTGAGTCTTATTATTTTAGATTTTGTAAGCGAGTAAAACTTAAAACTGCGTTTTTGTTCCAATAGCACAATAGTTTGGTAAAACAATAACATTTAAGCCTCTCTATTATATGAGTAATTATTAGGCTAACAAATGGAGTATTATTATTTTCCAATTCTGCATTCCTCTCGTTATAAATATTGTTTGCAACTTGGTAATTTAAGTAAAATTTAAAATACTATTTGGACCTGCCTCGAAACCATTTCTCTCTGAACTTTAAGCTTTATGTAGGTTTGATTTTAAAGAATTCTATTAGCAGCATTCTATATTTTTCAGTCAGGAATTCAACTTGAAATGCAAGTAAAATTCTTTCATTTATGATGTTCCCATAACATCTGATGAACAAATTGACATTGACGTTTATGAGAATGGACGCCCGTCCGTCCACTCATCAAATGAAGATGATGACGCCGCTGACATGGGAATGTAATAAGGCGGGCGTTCGCTTGGCGTGCGGCAAGCACCGCCTTTTGCCCCCTGCTCTCTTGGTTTTCCTTTTTTGGTGCTGGAGGAAGGGGTAGCGGGACAGAGTCAGCCAAGCAGGACGAGGCAGTGCGAGGCAACAAAGCGGAAATGCACACTGAGATGCCGGGCTTACACCTGGCGGCCAAACGCGGTGTAATGTGCAACCGGCCATGGCCATGGCTGTGGTAGAGGCAGTGCCAGTGGCAGCGGCGCACACGCCACATGGATAAGGACACAAATGCGAGGGAGGGCGAGGGCGGGTGTGCGGTGGCACATGTGCGTACCGTCCCGCCCCTGGCAGGGTGAGTTCTTGGCTGCTGCTGCTGCTGCTCGACCACGACCAGGACTCGACTTAATTGTCTCTAAATGGCTGAGAGTCTGCGACCTGTGAGCTGTGAGCTGCGAGCTGGGAAAAAGCGTGTAAATGAAAATGAGGAAAAACCGCTGGCTGTCTGGCTGGCTGGCTGGATGAATGGGTGGGATGGCTGGCTAATTTTCTCATTTTCTCCATCAATGGAAATTCGTTGAATTCCCCCGTCGTGCGCTCAAAAAGCTACGAAATGAGAAAAGTTGTCCTCGCTTTTGATCTTTTATTTTGCGGCACTCGAAAGTTTTTCTTTATAATTACGTAGGAGGCATGGTGGGGCATGGTGAAATGCGCCAGGCGAGGGACGTGGGACACGGACACACGGATTCCTTCTAGAACTCACCATTACGTCGTGGTAAGTATCCAAAAGAGTATCCCGGAGCTCTGCTCCAGTTTCCAGGTACATCAAAATGTTCCTCCGAATGGGAATCCTTCACTTGCGACTCCAGGGATTCCTATAGGAATTATTATTTTTCTTGGGGGTTTCTTGGTTCCTTTGGGGTTCCGCGCAGTTGGAGAATGTGGAAAATTGTATTACGGGGCAGAAATGAGACCGGAAGGAAGTGGCCCGAACAGCGACGTAACCGTAACTTGTTGTGTTTGCGTTTTTCGTTGCCTGGCAACAGGCACCACCAGCACCAACAACAACAACAAACAGTGCTCGGCCACGGCTGCTGACATGTTTCTGGCCCCCAAAAGGCCGAATCACGCTCTCCAATCGCCGGTGTGGTCAATCGCTTGCTCGGTCAGTCACCGTTTGGGGTGGCTACTCTAAAACTAGTTATTGCACGGGTTCTTAATACCTAATTACTAAATTAAACAATTTGCACGAGTTTTGTTGGGAAAAACAAAAAAAAACGAAGTCAAAACAAAATCATATGGCGCATGTGACCGTATGTGACTGGGCGCCAAAATACCAACAAAATAGCACCAAAAGTATTGTATTTTTAGTGTGACCTTGCGCGAAAGAAACACAAATGTCAGCAAACGGATGTAAAAATGTTGCAGCAACATGGAAAATCCAAATTCGCAACATTCAGGGCTGGTAAACGGTGCACAGGTCATTCTCCTGGATACGTTGACACAGCAGTTTGGCGGTAGATTTAAAAAAAGCTCTATTTCAAATAAACTACGGACAAAAAACCATCGACTCAGCCTTCAATTTATCAGATTTGTTCATTGTAATTCCAAACGCAGCAGCACAGCTTAGATTTATTTTTCTTTCTACCCAAATTACATTTTTAGTTACATTTCTATCACAAATTTCTTTCTTTCGTTTCTTGAGTATATTTGAAGTCTAAATTATTTTCGATTATGCTGTCTTTGGGGTCCGTTAAATTGTTGGCACTGGGCACGGCGGGTGCCCTCTTCCTTGGTTACTGTTTCTACTTTGATCAGAGACGCACATCGGCGCCCGACTACAAGAAGAAAGTCTTCCAGCGTCGCCAGCGGGAGGCGATGGCCGCCAAGCGGCGAATTAGGTTCAGAAACGAGCCACAACGGACCGGAGCAGGCGGCGACGTGGACGATGACCAGCTGGAGATGCAGACGCGATTCTTGCACGAGGTGCAGAGTGGCGAGCAGCTCATCAAGGAGGGTCGCGTGGACGAGGGCCTCACGCACCTGTGCACCGCCATAAACCTGTGCGCCAACCCGGGCGCCCTCCTGGAGATGCTCGAGGCCAATCTGCCCGAAGCGCTCTTCCGTCCGCTGATGATGCGTCTGTCCGAGATGAATCCGCGCGAAAGCAGCAGCGAATCCACCAGTGAGACGGAGTCCACCGATCAGCTCAGCAGCAGCAGCAGCCCTTAGCCCTAGAGCCCTAGAGCCCTAGAGCCCCAGTGGCAGTGACTGCCGCTGAGTGAGTGGCAGCCTCTGCATTTTCTGTGTGGACACACACACGCAGCCCACACACGCAGCACTGGAATATGCAAAAACTTTCGCTCTCTCTCAACCTGTTGGAGTGGATGGTGGCTGGTTGGCTCCAGACTGGGAGGAGGACTCGTGAGTTGGGAAAGGTAAGGTGTAATAATCGTAGTTCATACCAATTCCAATTCCCAGTTTCAGTTGCCGCTGTCAGCAGCAGGCAGGCCCAAGCATAGGTCCCACAATTCATGGGCACGCGTTTCCACAATGTTTTGAAAATGTGACTGGGGGAGACGAAAGAGGCAGCCGGCAGAAGCACGTTTCTGTTACGCGGTGAGGTGCGATGGCAGCGTTGCTGCGAGTCAAAGGCAGCCTTTCATGGTATTGGCTATTGCCGCCCACATACAGCAGTTGGGATGTAAGCAACACACTGGTGACTGAATACACACACATATTTGCATGTCTTTATGTACATCTTGGGGCAGCTGTTGCAACGTGTTTGTGTCTCTTCCACTCACTGACAAAGCGTTTGTTTCTCTCGACTTATCAGACAGAAAAAAGCCTCCATGTCGTATGCGTTACGTGCTAAGACCCCGGGCTTACAACTAATAGGGAAAAGAAAGACGAAAACCAAAGGAAAACGAGTGAAAAGAAGTGGAGAAGACGAAGAAAGCAGCGAGAAAACAAATGGAAAGACGTTAAAACATAGAAAATCAGAGGAAAAATCATCGGGATGTCAGAGGAAACCCCGGTGCAGCAGACTGTCTGGCGAGAATTTCTTGCAAGTTGAGTGAGAATCTATAGTCCAGGAATCCGTGCTAACATTTCTCCGTTTCCTTTCCAGAAGAACACACTGCCTGCGGACACTCGTGTGTATCCCACATGCCCGATCCGTAGCACATGCAAATTCAATTAATGCAAAAATGCCATTCCATACATACAAATCTACGTATATGTAATGTACTCGCACACACACATATGTATGTATGTATGTGTGTGTGTGTGTGTGTGTGTGCATACAATTAACTCGCTTCCTCCACGAGCCCGCTCTTCCCAATACAAAATCCAAATAAAACAGAATAGAACCAAAGTGCAGAGAGTTATAGGCGGGACTGGCGTCACCTTGTCGTTGCCTCGTTGCCTCGTTGCCTCGTTGCTGGAATCTCGAGCCGACTTTGCTTGATTTATCAACAGCAAACGGCAGTGGCAACATTTCAATGCAAAACGTGTAACAATTTGTAAGATTTACATAACCCAGAAGCCCGGGCCAGAAGTAGAACTCACAGCCATAGTCGTAGCACTTGAATTCGACTTGGTAGCTAATGAAATTAAACAAAAATAAAAACTTAATAGTAAACAATCCATTAAACAAATACATGAACAGTTAATGATAGTTCAACCTGAAATACGATTAATAAACCATACATAGAAAAGGAAAGGGCCATGAAAATTGCGTTATTATTTTGTACATTCAAATTAAATATTACTTGACCAACTAGATACATTTTTAGCCGAGCAACATATGGTAATTTCATCTTCCCATAATGCAATTGGGATTGGGAGACACCTGAAAATATATTATTGAAACATTTTGCTTAGGAATACAACAAATAAATAGTTGTAAATAAAACATGCGAAAGGTGCAAATAATTATTGTTGCTTTGAGATATTTAGCACCTTATTGAAGCCCTATTAAGCACAATTCAAAGTGCCACAATTGTTTCTGTTTCTCGGGGATTTCTGTTTTTGAATTCCAGAATTTCGTCCAGCGTCCTTGAGCTTCCACCCACCTGACATTCAGCGTGCCCCGATCTATTTGCTACTACTAAATGCAAGCACTGTACATGCATAAACAAATGCCTGTATGTGCACTCGCGAGTGTGTGTATGAAATAATATAATTATTTGTCCAGCTGCGGGCGCACGTGTCGTTGCCCCTGTCCCTGTCGGTTGGGCCGCTCGCTTGGCGCTTTTTATAAACATTTCTCGAGATTTCTAATCTACATAGCAGCAATAACCACAAAAGCAATAACAACAAGAAACAACTAGAAATATCAGCAAAGAGCAGCAGCTACAATCGCAATTTCTGTTCACATGCTCGTACATACATACAGGTACATTTGTACATACATTTGTACATGCTATGTATTGTAGCTTCAGACCCGTTCCACTTGAATATTTCTGTGTGCTTTTATTTCTACTTTTTATTATGTTTTTTGTTGTAGTGTTCTTATCAGCGATTTTTATTTTATTTTCTTTTGGATTTCACCTCGACTTTGAAATTAAAATTTCGCCAGATGATAAGAATTATTTTCTGTCATTTCACGCGATCTCATGTTGTTTATTGTTGATTCTGATGTGGCGATAAGTCCCCAGAATGTTTTGCAGCCCCACTTGAAAGCTTCCAATTAAGATATAACACGATTAGAGCCCCCACTTGCTGCACCAATTTACTGGCTGTGGCCCTTCCATGGTCTGGTGATTTCGTCAATGTCCGTCCTAATTACAGGTGTGAATTGCACCTGTGTGTGAAGGCACACAAAAGGCATGAAATTTGCCTCACGATTATTTGTGGTTATCATAAGCGTTTGATGCGTGGCCCCAGCCACCGTAGCAGAAGCTTTGGCATTTGGGTAAACATTTGGCTTGGGATATTTCTCTTGCACTCTCGCAACACTGTGCATCTTCCGGGTAAAAATCGTATTGTTACCCATTCCAAATGGTGATTAAACTTTAACCAGCAACCAAGTTGGGGGTTAGGTAACCACACTAATCCGATGGGTTTTCCTTCTCGCTGTGCCTCGAAGAGAGGCAAACATGAAGGCAATCTACAAGTGTTTGCCTTTTGTTATGCTGTTTCGTTTCTGTTTGTATGAAAAGCAAACCTTTCGTCACACTGCAAATGTCTCTGTAGTTTATGCTCGTGGAAATTCCGAGAGCCCAGCCATGTAACGCCCCTCCGATTAGCAACACGTGAGCAACAGGGAACCGTACAGTAAGTAAATATGTTACAGCCACAATAACGTGGGTGTGTGGAGTAGATGGCAGTGCTCGGTGCTCGCTGCTCGAAGCTCGGTGTGTGAGGCAATGTGGCCCCATGAGTAACTTGAGCCACTTCCAGCAGTTTTTATGTCTTTGCACGTGCCTCACAAGGGTCGGTGCGGGGCGGGCAAGTGTGTAATTTCCGCAGCGACCTCGGGTCGTATACGTAACGAAATGCCATACGAGTGCACGTGCCACTTATAATTAGCTCTGAGATCAGCAAACACCGAAAACAAAACAAAAGCACGACACAAAAGTCCGCTTTGTAGGTCCCTCCGAAACATGGGATACCCTGCCAAATCGTCAGAGCTATCTAATCTGTTGATTATATTTAACATAAACATGCGAAGACACACATATTTTCAGGTAAAAGTGAAGATCCAGCATACTCAAATTTGGTTTAGAGTTGACAGCTTTAGTCCCTTGCCGACTTTAGTTGAAAAATGTCTCATGAACTATGCGAATTATCTTGTCAAATGATAAAGGTATTCGATACTGCCACTGCCTGCAGACCAGAGGGGCAAGTTTTCATAACAACAGACAGGCTTAAGGGTCGAAAAGTACTTAATCTTTCTACCCAGCGTTTTGTTTAGTCTTTTTAACAGGGTACCATATAGACCGTGGATGGTCCAAAGCTGGTGTTACGCAAGCCCAGTGGTTAATTGGACACGTTTATGTCATTTATCACCCCGGATCGCGGCTCTTGCAATTGTATTTGTGTGCATTTGTGTGTGTGTGTGAATGTGTTTGCGTGACCTTTGGGGCCAGAGCCGGCTCTATAAATAGCTGGAGCTGCCATTTAAATATAATCAACACGCTGGAAAATCCAACACAATGGAAATGAAATAATCAAATCCGAATACGAGTCGAGGCGCGACGAGTCGAGTTGAGTTGAGTTGAGTCGGCTCTAATGTAAACACATTGCGCTTTCTGGAGGCAAAAACATTTCAAAGACACGTGACCAACAACAAACTTGAGTCTTACATTGTGTGTCTGTGTGTGTGTATACCGTTTCTGTGTGTGTTTGTGTGGAATGGCTGACATGCTCGGCTCGCGTGAGAAATTACGTCATGCGCCACGAATTTCGTGTGTGTGGTTTTTTTTGTGTATTTGCCACTTTCAACGTGTCTCGATTAAAAACATTAAGCTTCAGGCCGTTGATGGAGTGAGAGTGAGTACGGATAACAGAGAGAGAGAGAGAGACAACGATGACGGGACAACGCAGCGTATGATTATTATTTCGATTATAAAAACGAAATAAAACGAATAACAAACCGAAAACCGAATAACAGCAGCAACAAAAACAACGCACTGTTGCGCTCTGTAATAAAAACAAAATGTCGGCCGACATGCCCGAGTGCATGTGTGTGAGTGAGCAAGTGTCTGTGTGTTCGTGGTGTGCTGTTCACATTCATTCGTGCCGATTGTTGTTGCCAAGCGCTCTCAGTCGCCCTGTTGGATTTCGCTTTGGAATTTGTCACGTTCACGTGTTTTATTGTATGCCGCTGCCGTGTTCGCTGGCCTCTGCTGTTCGGCTGCTGCCGCTGCTGCTGCTATTGCCCCTCCTCGGCTGCTGTCTTGGGCTTTTGCGTCGTTGATTTTCGCTTTATTATTATTGTTCTATATTTTTAATATTTTTTATGTAGTTTTTTGAGTGCCCAAGGAACATTGAATTAAAGGTTGGGCCCAATTCTGTGAACCTTCTATGACTAAGAACAAATAGATCTTATTTTTGGTCACTCCATTCACACTGTGACTGTCACTGCAATGGCTCAACGCTGGCAGACCGACCGGGTGTGTGGGTTCTGGGTGTGCCACTTCGATCAGAGATTTGTACTTGAAAAACATATGGCTGGGCTTATTAACAACAATCAGTCACAGAGAGTAAATGCTTATTAATATAATTTACACGCAACATATTTATGCCTGTCCCAAAAAAACAATACCAACAGCAGCACCAAGCTTTGGTTGTGTAAGTGCGCCGACAGGCGACTGTGAATGAAGTCGAGTCAGTGGCAGCGCACAGTGCTTTAAGATTCATATGAAAACTGTGCTGATTCCAAATAAAACAATAAATTACTATGGATTTTCGTTTTATTGTTACTCTGTGGGTGATCAGGCATTTACAAATATTAAGGTAAACATGTCTTTGCGATTGCTCATTTGTTTTCGTTGTGGCCCATTTAAGGTAAGAAACGAAGGAAAAAGTAGATTTAAAATATGTAGCTGCCAGCTTGACGCTTAAGACTAATTTGAGGACTCATTAAATGGTTTCTTTTAAATGTTTTGTTTGTCACTTTATAATTAAATAGGTCACCTTCGCTGGTTGTACTTTTCAGCAGCAAGTTTTCTGGCTTTGGTTCCTGCAGAATTTTATCGCTCAGATATTCGACTGAAAGCTAGTATACGAACTCTAATTTGACGGTTTTCTCTAATGCTCTCTCATAACACCAACAAGAGAATATTATGTGTTGCTTTGAGTAAAAGCAAGCCCGTAAAAGCTAACATGTGAATAAGTTGACCATCTGGCCCCACTGTGGCAATCACGTTCGCCGCGCACGAAATGCGATAACATCGGCGGCACACACATGTAAGTATTTGGGGCCGAAACGTGGAGCCCAGAGCCGCTCTCATCGCGCTCTTCTGCGCTGACATGTGGCCTGCAATGCTCTCTCGTACTCTCTCGCTCGCGCTGTTAAGGAGGTGCAAATGTGTGAGTGTGGAAGTGTGCCCTCCGACTGGCAAGCGAGGCATTGCCTCATTTTAGTCATTCAATAGTCATTCATTCGAGCGGACGCAGACGGCTAGCGTGTACATACGTACGGTGACTGTGCAAAATAACAAATAAACGGAGGAAAAAACTGCTTGAACCAAAGCAACTACAACAACAACAGAAGCACAGCGAAAAAAGATAGAAAGAAAGAGGAGAAATACAACAGCGGCCAAATTAGCTGGAGGCAGCAACAAAATTTATTATATGTACAAAAGTGCCACAATAGTGAAACACACGCACACGCATAGCAAATCGCTTATATGCTCTCACCTACAGATGTGTGTGTGTGTGTATATATATATATGTGAATGTATGTAGGCGGCTCTGTTGCTGGTAAAATTCCACTGTGAAAGGAAGTTATTGTTGCTGCCGTTGCTGCTGTTGAGTGTCGTGTCGAGTGTGTGTGTCTGTGCGTGCGAGTATTAATAAAACAAATAAAAGTTGATAAAAATAAATATTTTATAAAAGCAGAAAACGTGTAAACGGCCCGGGTGCCAAGCAGCAGTAATCACGTTTTTCGACATTTATTCATTGTTGCTTTTTGACTTTTTTGTTTTGCGTGGAACTCTTTGCATCGCCGCGAGTGACAGACAGACCGAACGAGCGAGAGAGAGAGAGAGTGTCTGAGAGATGCCACAGTGGATGCTCCAACAAGTGCACTTTTTAATTGCTGCCTGCGTCCCCCAAAAATAGATGTAGAGCTGCTGCTGCCAAGTACAAAAAGGAGAAAATAACTTTATCGCTGCCTCGTTATCGCCAGCACACACAGAAAGAGACGAGCAAACAAAAGGCTAACCTATCCACTGATAAGACCCTGACAGAGCCCATAGTCCAGTACCAGTACCAGTACCAATACCCACCCGCCCGCTGTACAGACTTATCGGTTCCATTCGTTCCAACATAAATAAATGCATTAATAGTTCGGGAATGTTATGCTATATCTAAGACAGCAACAACGCAAGTGCAAGGAGTATTGGATATTCTTGGAGAGACGTGCAACAAAAGTGTGATACCAAATTGTACCTAAATAACAGTAAAAGTAACGGCCAATCCTTGTGTAACAACCCACCGTAAGGAGCGACAGAGAGAGAGAGAGAGAGAGAGAGCGCTGGGCTTCGCCGTAGATTCGCCAAATTCGCCGCCACCGTCGACAACCTGTTTGCTCAGCCATAATTCGCCCTCCTCCCCAAACGGAATTTATCTTGGTATTTGTACAATTATTTCTGCATTGACGTAAGGAGCGCACCCCACCTTCCACCATTCCACCGCAACTGCAAGCCACGTTGACGCAGCAGCAGTCGCAGCAGCAGTCCAGGACAGCAGAGTTAGCAGACGCATCCGAAGCAGAGGGCGCAGCAGCAGTAGGAGCAGCAGGAGGAGGAAGAGGAAGAGGAAGGTGCAGGAGCCGCCACAGCAGCATGGAGCCCTATTGGAACGAGGCGAACGGACATGCCGCACATCCGGTTAAGTATGAGAGGTAGGTATAAAAAGGGATCCCGCCAAAGCAGCTCCAAAACAAAATCAAAAACAAATGAAAAAGCAAAAACACTCACTTTCACCTGCGCGCTTAAGTCTATGCATTAATTAATGGTTTAGTGTAGATTTTAGTCTCCAATTTAGTTGTTACCTTAAGTCGTCTTCTTCTTCGTACGCGTCACCATTGCCGTCGCCGTTGTCTGGCTTTGTAACGGCCTTCGCAGTGCTTGAGTATGAGCGTTTGCGTGTGTGTGTGTGTGTGCGAGTGTGCGTGTGTGGATTGGGTGTGGATCGTGTGGGATCTATTTATAGCCTTTGAGCTAGAAAACATTTGCAAAACACTCGTGAAATGCGAAAATCGGGCGAGAAAACATGCTGAAAACGTGGGCAGAAGACGACTCTGTCGCCGATCTATTTTTGTCCGGATTTGTGCTTTAGTTTTATTTCACTTTATTTTGTTTTATTTTATTTCATCTTTCTGTTTCGGGTTTTTGCAAACAAAAAAAAAACACACTCAAGCATACAAAAAGCAACGCACGACCCGCCAAACGTGACGTTCCGTTTCGTTCCCCCAAAAACCAATCTCCCTCTTCCTCTGCCCCTGCCTCAGCCTCTGCCTTTGCCCATTCCCCCGCAGTCGTGTGTTTTTTTTTGTGTACGAGTATTTCTGAACTTGAATTTCATTAAACGTGTCCGAGTGAAACCCCAATTCGGATTCGGATTAGGTGTGTCTGTCCGCGTCCGCCTAGTGTGGCCAGAGACTCGTTCAATAATTTAGTCGTGGCCCGCGAATGGTCGCGAGCTTTGGGCCCGGCTAAATGTCAACGGCCAAAACGTTGCTATAAATATCAGTTAATAGCACCGCCTCCACCTCCCTGCTCCACTGATTGGCCATCTAGGAGGGAAGTGGGGTTCTACACACGTGTTTGTGTGTCTGCCTTTGGGGGGGACTGTCTTCGTCTTTGCCACCGAATAAGTTTCTATTCCGATACATATCTGTGTGCTGTGTCCCGTGGGCGTAGGCGTAAGCGTAAGCGTAAGCGTTGGGTGCCGGTGTGGGTCGTGGTGCCAGTCGGTGTCCTTTTGAAGGTCAACAAGTTTTGTCTTTCACCCATGTTCCTCCTTGTTGTTGTCGCATTTATTTGATTGAGTATTATATTGGGGTCTATTTTGGTATTCACTGACCACTCCTGGGCACGCTTTCAACCCTATAAATATCCTGGTCCCCCTCGTCTCCCCCAATGAGTTTCTCATCAAATATTCAGCTTGATTTGATTTGTTTTCCTAATTTCAATTCTGATTCAGCCCCCCCACAATAGAAACACAATGCTTGGTGCCACTTGGGGGAAAGTGTTGCCACAATTGCATATGGTATGGTATGCCTCACGTGTGGCTAATGATTACATGCGTGTGGCCGTGATAATTATATGGAAACGATCACCAACTAATGATACAAACCGTTTATACACCATTTCAATAATTAAATTCAACGATCGCTGCGGTTCGATTCGGCTCGGTTCGGCTCGGCTCGGCTCGGTTCGGTTAATTACAAAAATCAAAAAAAATACCTTTCCACGCGTGATCAAACGAACGTGCATGTGTGTGTGTGTGTCGCCTTATCAACTGCCATACGAAGTAAACACGCTTTGGTCGCGTCTCCGTTTTCGTTTTTGTCGTCGTTCAAGTGTTTATAACGGGCCCTCCCTTTTAATCAACACCAAAGAGATGAAAAACAACTTAAAACGGAAAGAGACTAAAAGAGCGAGCAAACAACAGAAGCAACAGAAAATGAAGAAGATAGATAAAGAAGAAAAAAGAAAAACAAATATGTAAGAGTGATAAGCAAACACGCGATAAACAGCAAGGCGGGCGTGACGCACAGCCACCCCGCCACCCAGACACAATCTGATACATATGGAGATTTCGAGAGTATATCTAATCTATAGAGTTTTCCATGCGTCAGTGAGATCTCGGGTTTGTTGCACGACGAGACAGTTGCTCCAGACCCACCTCTTTCCAGCAGACAGCCACATGATAGTAACGATGATACTGATGATGAGTAGAAACGGAGAAGGAGGAGGGCTTATCCACTTGCAAACGCAGCTGTCTCTCGTTGTTTTCGATTTCGGGATCTTGTCAACGACGCCATATATCCATGGAACTACAACGAATGTGATGTGTGATCTCCTAGTGATCCCAAAGTGATCCCTAAGTGACCATGACCAGTCCAGTGTGTGATAAGTGTGTGTGTTTGGGTTTTTCCAAGTGGAAGGAAGAACGAAAGAACTCTGATAAAGTGTGTTTGTTTGCTGGCTACGTTTGTGTTACATGATCCCCATGCTGGATTCGATTCCAAGTGCCAAAAGGGACAATCATGTAGGCTAATCAACTCACAAATGTTCAGCAAGACAACACGTCAAAGCAAACAACAAGTAAATGAATCTATCAACCACGAGTATCTACCCTACGAGTATTTCCAAATAAACAACAAACGCATGCTGCAGGAGGCTACTATAAATAGCCCAACGAAGTGTTATAAATTATACAAATATTTTTAGCGGATGGCGCTGACTGCTGACGATCTTACGGTTCTCCTATTCCCATACCGAGTCCAATTCCGAAATCCCATTCCGATCTCGATTCGCATCGATCCAATTCGTTCCGCCGAAGCGTCGTCGGTCTTATCGTTGCCGTCGCCATCGTCGTCGTCGTCGTCGCCGTCATTAGCCTCATCGTTCTGTTGGTGTGGCGTCCATTGGCATTTCAGAGGCGTGCACGTAGCCACGTTTCCCTATGCAGCCACACACACATACATTCACTCCTCTGGATGATGACCCTCCTCCTGCAGGTCACCACCACACGGGGGAGAAACGTGCCGCAGCCGCAGCCGCACATACTCGTACATATACTTGTATGCATTTGCATGGTGGAATTCACACACAAATTCTCATCAGCGGAGGAGGGACACGGGTACACGGGGATACTCTGGTCTCCATGGTGGTTTCCAATGATTAATGCATTCAACGTCGACGTTTTTGAGGTCCGCGTGACTCATGGCTGGGGATGCGGGGCTCTGGGGTCTCTGCACATTGCATTTGATTGCCACTAAACGATTTGAATAGTTGCTCTCTGTGAATATATGTGAATGTGTTTTGACCCAGTTATTACTAAATGTTGGGTCATTTGTGGCTGTCTATTAGTTGGGGAATGCGGATGGGCATGGGCATGGGCATGGGCATTTGAATGTGTGGGGCTGGAGATCGTTGGCATTCGATTAACATTTCGAATTGGAAGCGTACGTGTGGAAAATTTTCAAAATAATTTTTACATTGTAGAGGAAATATTTCCAAATGGAAAAGTTCACAGTCACATTGTTAAGGGATAACATTGATTGTTGGAGTTACTTAGAATTGTCTTTGGAGGGGGAATTCACGCAGAGTACACCGAAATATTTCCTAGAAGCTACATCAATTATTGCGTGAGTGAACGCAGATTCCAATTTCAAGACAACTTTGTTGATGAATCATTGCCTGCCATTCATTTCTGGAATTCCCTTGGAACAAAGGCTGCTGCTACTTTGTGGTGTCCCAATTAGGTTTCCATACAATTTTCCACTCTTCTGGGGCATACATACAAGTATCTCGTATCTCGAAACTTCGTTTTGCTGCGTGTGCGTAAAAGCCCAACCGACCGCCTTCAATTGGCCGGCCTTTGTTGTGTGTCCAATTTGTTTGTTGTTTCTCTCGCTGTGTCGCCCCGCATTCTGTATCTCAATCTGTAAAGCTAGCTGTGTGTGTGTGTGTGTGTGTCTGTGTCTGCTTATATTGAATTGTTTTTCGCTTAGACAGCACGCCAGAGTGCAATTTATAATGTGAAGCGGGGTGAGCATTGGGGCCCTTGTATTATTGCCCTCGTTGTGGCTCTGTTGCCAGGCGATCCATCCGGCACGTGCACACGTTTGTGGCTGGCAAAAAAAAGAAAAAGAGAAACCAATTGAAATTCGCTGAAACCAGCACTCTACGACCAGTACTCTGTGGCCGAACTTTTCCGTCTTTTGTGTCTGGGCATTGCCCAATCTCATCATTATATCACGTGTCCGCTCAGCCATTCAGTTTCCACCTGAATATACATCTGAATATTCATGAGTGGTGGCTTCATTAAAGTTTCCATTCAAAGTTGTTCGTGTTCGCTGTTCGACTCTCACGTGATCAGATGTTCCGGCACTGCTGCTGCAGTTCTCTCGTATAATTTCGTGCTAATTTGTTTTGCTTGTATGGGTTGTGTACAGGTTGTTGTGTTATCTTATCAACAGAGATACCTACTCCGTCCACGACTCAAGGTCAGCTGATCAGAGCCAGAGAACCCCGCCCACTTTTTGCCAATTAGTGCCCCAGAAATTGTCAACAGATTCTTATAATTGATTTATCAACAAAAACGTCACCGTTTGTCGAGTGGTTTTCCGTCCATTTGAAGTATTTCTGATTTTAGATTTCACAATTTCCATTGCCTAATGTCAATATGGAAATATCTGACACAGATCTCCATCTCTTGTGGCATTGAATGCCAGCCCCTTCCGTTCCGTTTCGTTTGTGTTGTGTTGTGTAAGTGGTGGACCAAAAGATCTATAAGAAATATATGGGGAATCATGAATCACTCACACTCACGCTGTGTCGTGGCCTGTGAGTCAGTGGCATGACAGTTTTGGAGGAGATTTACAAATATTACAGCTCCCCGTATCTCATTCTGTAAACTGTAAATTCTGACGTCTTTCAGGGAATTATAAATAAATAAACTTTATTTTGTAAATTAAGGGGAAATTCCCTGCAAAGATAAGCCAAAGATTAAACTGAGTGAAACTGCCAAGAACCAGTTGTATTCGGCTTACTCTATCAGTATTTATGGGCGACCTCAAAAACCCACATAATAGAAACCATCGTCACGTGTAGCGCGGTGTTATCTTATCAACAACATTTTGGGGTTTAGTTACCTTACAACCGTCCCGATAAGTGCAGGAAACAAGTCATTTGAGTGGCATATCGATAGGAGAGTGAGAGCGTGTGCAAACTGTTGTTAGTAATTATCATTATCAGCGAAAAACCCATGCATAGAGGCAGAGATAAACGTGAATCGGGAAGTGGGAAACAAACGGGTGAACGGGTGAACGGGTAAACGGAAAATCGTTGTAGGAATGCTGTGATGTGTGTGCTGTTCATGCCTTTGGCAAGCGATGGGCGACTGATCAGCGGAGACTGTCGTCATGGGTCCACAGAGACTACCTGTAGATGACGATCTCTGTGTCGCCTCGAAGCATTCTAAAGAATGTATGTACATACAGACGTGCCTCATTCCTATATTTACGGGGGCCAATTACTTAATAGTGCGACAACAAAGAAAAACGTAAACAAATGTGTAGGGTAGGGGAACTGCAGCGCCAAGAGCGAAGGGGAACCCACCCATGGGGCAAGTTGCCAACTTGTTGGGGTGCCATCGCATGAATCAAGCGAGTGATTGGTGACTCTCGCTGACGCCTGGCCACAAAACTGAAGTGCTCTTTGGCCACTGATGTAAAACGAGCAGGAGTACACGCCCTGTTCACGGGACCGCCGTTCGTTGTCCCCCAAAAATACTGAGGGAGACACCAATCGGGCGGGCAGAGTGCAATCAACTCGAGAATTCGCCGCCCAAGGCGAACATTGGATTGAAATCTGTGCTGCATTACTCATACGCAGCGAGAGCCGGAGTCGAAACTCTGAAATACTGATAATTGGCTATGGTTTACAAATCAAATAATGCAAATTGTGCTAAACGCACAGACCAGATGAAAACAAGTTAGTAGAGGGAGGAGCTAGCTGTGGGAGAGGCTGTGCCAGTCCAGATAAACAAGTTCTAGGCGCCATGGACTGGTGCGTTCTAGTATATCTTTTTCAAATATTTACAAATATGTAGATATGTATGAATGTACATATATGTATATGCTTATGTATATGTATGTATATGTATTTACGTAATGTTTGTTGTCTGTTTTGGTCGCTTATCGCCCCTAGAGGCAGTGGCAGAGACAGAGCCACAGCCATGACACTTATTCTTTCTGTCGCTTGCTGCTCGTTCATTTATTTTGGTTTTCTAGCTTTTTCGACTTGTTTCTTCTTGGCGTGCCCGCGTTCATTATGATTACCCGTATCCGTACCTCAAGCGATTTTTGTTTGTTTTGGTTCGGGAATTGGCATTTAGTGAATTTTTCTCTCTAACATTTCCTCTATGGCGGCGCTTGGCAACAGTTTTCCTGTTCGTTCTGTTCGAGTTCTGGCTCGCTCTCGCTCTCACTCTCTCTCGTTCTCTCTCTGTTTTATTATATTTTTGGCACATGGCAATTAAAACGTGTAGACGCTATAAATAGCCGCTCTGATATATGGAGTGCATATGAAAACGTGAAAACGTGTATGGGGATTGGCTCGTTTCAATTGGTTTTTCCCCATCCCACACGCCAGTTGGCGAGACTTATATTATTGGAAACAATGAAAAACATTCTGTGTGATGCCAAAGGGAAACGGGCGAAACTATTTACCATGGGGGGGACCCCACATTCAATCCACAATTTTCGGTGTGTCTGTGCGTGATAAAGTGATCCTGGATGATCCTGGAACAACAACAAACAACTGCACTTATCCGTATGCTAATCGTATTTTAAAGCATATTTTTACCACTTTTTTTTTACCACAAATCGCTCGTTTGATTTTAGCCAAGCGATGGAGCCAAGCCCCTCCAGTGGCCCAGTGCCAGGCAGAATGCTGGGTGAATGTTGGCTCAAGATCCTTCGATCTCGATGCCCCTTGGTGCTTTAATCAACGTTTAATGTTTATTATGTTCTCTCTGTTCCGTTGCAGCCGTGTTGCAGATTGTATTTTGTAGCTTCTGTATCTCTGAGATAATCCTAAAATAAACGAAATAAACACATTAATCCATAGCTCTAATTAGCTCTAGTTACTACTCCTAAGTCAGGCTAAGTTATGCGCCTAATAAATGCATTACTAAAACCAAACAAAAAAAAATCGAAATGAGAAATTAAAAAAAAAATTAAAACTAAAACAATGAACCAAAAATACAAGACATGAAAAAAACCAATACATTTTTTGAACAAAATTTGGACTTATTTGTGTTTCTTTATCTTTATCCTTCCCACTTTTTTTGCATATCGAAAAACGAAAATATAGCGAAGCAGCTGTCTCCAGTTTTCCTTATTGCACAGAATCTAGTTTAAATTTTTCCACCTCTGCGACGGCATACAGCGAGGACGATGCTGAATATGCCACAGGAAGACGTAATAAAACATCGAGGGTAAATATTACAATTTTAGAGATCGAGAGAACTCACACCAGACTCCGATCTGATCGATCACTCATTGATCATTTCAATTGTGAACATGAAAATTGAACGAATAAAACAATCGAATAAAAGCGAATATATGTTAAACGAATATTAAGACGGACGATCGACGACAAGATCAAAGGATCAAAAGAGAGAGAGGCTTTAGCGCAGCGCCTGGACGTCTTCTCGTCGTTGCCACGATGTCGATTTATCACACACACTCTCACACGCACACAAACACACACAAAAAACCAATACATTCACGCACAGCCACGCCCATGAGAGGCCGATGCCTGCCCACCAACTGCCCAACGACACCGACGACGCCCACCGCCCACCGCTTTTGACCCTTTTTTATTGTACGCCTACAAAAAGCTTAAACAAAAATTAAAATTAAAATGAAAACCAAAAGAAAACCGATTGAAAATAAAGAGAAAAGAAAACTGAAATGAAAGTGAAAATAAAATGAAATTGAAAAATGGAAAAGAACCAATCATTACTAGGATAAAGCCTAACTCTCCCTCCCCCACCCCGCCTATAGCTGGATCCTAAATGAACCGCAACTAATTAGATCTCTTTATTCTCTCTGTATATTCTCGTGTCCCTATAGCAAGACCCACTATCTCACCGTATTATCGAGAAGCGGCGCCGGGATCGCATGAACTCCTGCCTGGCGGACCTCTCACGCCTCATCCCGCCGCAGTACCAGCGCAAGGGCCGCGGCCGCATCGAGAAGACGGAGATCATCGAGATGGCGATCAGGCACCTGAAGCATCTGCAGAGCGAGTGCCTGCAGAAGGAGAGCGACTACCGCAGTGGGTACATGGACTGCATGAAGGAGGCGGCCAAGTTCCTCTACGACGTCCACATGCAGGACTTTTGCCACCGTCTCTTGGGTCGCCTGCAGGAGCACATCGATGACATGTTCAAGAGTGAGTTCATTCGATATTTTACCCCATGAAACCACATGCTAATCTCTCTTTGTCTGTCCTCCAGCCGAGTGCTACAAGTCCACGCGCACCTGCCACATGCCGGACAATGTGAGCGCCTCCAGCGGCAGCCCACACCAGGCGTACCATCCGCCACTGTGCCACCTGCGGGACATGCTGGGTGCCTCGGATGTGGAGCACAGCCAGGATCACAATGATGTGAAGGATCTAAGCTTCCGCAATCATCTCAATCAGCTGCAGCGGAACCAGCAGGCAGCAGCCGCCGCTGCCGCCGCTGTGGCTGCTAATGGCAGCGGAAGCTCCTCCAGCTCCACCACCCTCGAGGTCGCCAGCAAGCTGCCCATGACCAATGGCAGTGGCAGTGGCAGTGGTAGTGGCAATGCCAATGGCGACAATGTTCCCACCAATTCCACGGGCTCTCTGCCCGGTGCAGGCAGCAGCAGCAATGCCGCCAGCTCCACCTCCTGCCCCAGCACGGTCACCTGTCCAACGACCACGTCCGCATCGGTGGCCCAGAAGGTGGCACCGCCCATGGCTGCCCACCAGCAGCAGCAGCTGCCACATCAGGCGGCAGTGATCACGTCGACGGCACCGCACCACCACACGGACAGCAGCCACCACGACTTTGACTCGTCGCGGGAGCCCATCCTCCACACGGACACCTCCAACATGCACTCGCCACCGCCGCGCGACCTGCTGCTGCAGCAGCATCCGCATCTGGGGCACAACCACACACAGGACAGCCTGATGTCGGTGCGCATGCGCAACTACTCGGAGTCCTCGCACGAGGTGGAGCACAACAACAACTACAAGTACAAGAACCACATCAAGGAGCGCTTCGTGCACGAACTACACGACGAGGAGACGAGCAGCGAGCACTGCCCGGTGGCGGCCCACCTCCAGAGCGACCACTCGCACATGCAGGCCCACTCCGATCACTCCAAGGACGGCACCGAGCCAGAAATAGCCCCAATCATGGCCAAGAAGCGCAAAATGGCCGAGGCTGCAGCGGCGGCAGCAGCCAACGGGGATGTCCACCCCCTGGACGTACACTGCGATGCCAGCAACCCAAATCCGTCCCGTCAGCTGCTAATGTTGCGCGAGGACAGCAAGCCCTCGCCCTCCTTCAATTTCAGCGACATCAAGGACATCAAGTCGGAGCTGCACAACAGCAACTCCAACTCCAGCCCACTGCTGGCCAAGCTCAGCGCTGCCGCAGCCGCCGGAGCCCAGCTAAGCACTCCGAGCAGCACCACCACCTCGCTGGCACCACGGCACTCCTTCACCGTGCCCATCTTCGCACTGCACGGCCAGGGCAACTACTACGTGCCCCTCAACGTCGACTACAACGCCCTGGTGCCGTTCCTCAACGGCATGGATCTGCTCGAGAAGAGCTACTCGAGCATGCCGGTGGTGCATCCCATCAACATCAATGTCAACTTCATGCCCAGCTCCCCGTCGACCTCTCTGCTGGCAGCCGCTGCAGCTGCAGCTGCCGTTGCAGCTGGCAAGCAACAGCAGGCCGTGGCGGCCGCATCCGCAGGTGGTCCACTGTCCTCCGTGGTGGGGGCCAACTCGGCGGCTGCCCAGGTGGCAGCTGTGGCCGCTGCGGCCGTGGCCAAGGCCAAGCTGGAGCAGGCCATGAACAGCAGCTGGTAGGGGGCAGGCGGTGGATTACTAGATGGAATAACTACCTCAGTACTTCTGTGAATAATCATCAAATGATTAATCTCAAATCAAACAAACAAACAAAAACCAAGCGGCGTCTGCGCCAAGGAGAGAACACCAGAGGATAGAGGATAATGCGTATTCAGATTTATTATTTTTGGATTAGATCGGAACAGCCTCAAAGGCTGCGTAGACAAGATTGAGATGCAAAAGGGGAGAAAATTATAGGAAATAGTTTTGAACAAAGCTAAGAAGCAAGACAAAAATTCAGCATAAATAAATGTCTATTAGAATGCATAGAAATCTTAAAGAAACATAAACAAGAAACAGAAACTAGAAATGTGTACTAAACCGTACTAAATATACATACATAGAAATATGATGCCAAGAGTCAGTCCCACGTAAAAGATCTAATGGATTTTAAAAAGAATAACAAACAAAAAACAAAACTAATTGTGAACTAAATGTATTTTTTTAGGAGTTTAACGTTTTTGCAGTGTTAATTACATAAGTGTTGTGGTTTCAAATCAGGTAGTCTATAGCCAAGTGGGTTGGGGAGTCCTGCACCGGGAGTCCCCCTCCCAAATCAAACGTACATATTACAAAAATATACCTATATATTACCTATATATGTATAGTAAACCACTAGTCAAACGGAGGACGATGTATGTAAAACGTAAATGGAAAAGGATGTGGATACGAAAGAAAACAAATCAAAATGAATTATTATTATTATATAGTGTGTATGTATTGTATAAATTCTATGTGTAAATATTGTTAGCAAAATCAAATTGTCATTCGTTTAAGTTTGTATTTTAGCGACAAATTATCTTAAGTTCGTTGTTTATCACACATCCCATGGAGGAGCTAAAACAAAACCTGAAAAACAAACAAAAAAACAATTAAAACAAAAAAACCCAAAAACTTTTCTATTACAGAAAGAAAGAAAGTCCAAATTTCATTCTCGAAATGCGGTCCTAATACTATAGTTAGTTAGTTATTATTATTAGTACTATCAATACCTACCGTCTAACCCCCCTACGTTGATTTATTTCTTTGTGTTTTTTTGTATTATTATTATTTGTTATCCCGCAACGGAATAAAGGAAAATATTAAACTTGTTTCGAGACTCTACTGTCACTTGTTTCCTCCGATCTACGAGAGCACTGGGAAACGATCTATAATAGTAGTTGGCTAAACCGAAGGTTTACCCATACAGCACAAAGATTATTAACTCTTTTTTTTAAATGTGTACGGACTGTATGATTACGTTTACTCTACGGTACTGTTAATATACAAATACGTTACTGTTTAATATATTTTATATGTGTATACAGATGTAATAAAAAAACTAAAAAATTAAATCCCTGACTTTGCATTCCTTTCAGAGAAAAATACGAGTATGAGTATGTCGAGCACTGCGTGACGTTGAGAGTTTTAGATAAAGATGGAGGGGCCGGAAAAGAGTGAATTAACCACAGCATGTAAATGCCCATTGTATATGTACGAGATTGTAAGTCTTGGAATTTTGTGAAATCATCGACCAGAGGCCCAGTTTATTCAGTATCAAGTTGTGCACCGGATAAGTCGTGCAGCAAATTATTATTCAGAATGCATGTGGCACTGTGTTGGTGCAGCTTTTTGAGCGTTCTTCTGTGCAGCATTGCAGCTGACATTCCCGGTTGCAATTTGTTCGATACTGTCAATCTCGCAAACAGGGTTAAGTTCCCGAATGAATCGTATAGCTACGAGGATCTCATCAGTAGTACGACTACCAAATGCACACATGCCCAGCCACACAAGAGGATCTGTTTTTTGCATACGATTATGTTGTCATCGGCGTAAAGTGATAAAGGACATACGCTGAACGAGTTGTCCTACAATATGACCACAAGAAAATGGAACTGTGACGCATAAACACATGTTTTCTATTTCGAATCCAATCTGATCAAATTCATTGTCCAGAATGGAACGCTGCTGCGACAATATGACACGAGGTACCTCTCCAAGCAGGACTACTGCCTGCAGCCGCGGAGTCGGGGAAGCAGAAAGGCTACAACCATATCCTTGTTCCTTACAACTGCGTCATTAAACCAGACATGACAATGGAATATGGGTGTATAAATAGAATCATTACCCATGGCATTTCTGTCGTATTTATGGCCATTACCATTTCCGTCTACCTTTGGCTGCCCCAGTTTCAATCCCTGACTGGAAAGTGCTGCAATCTGTATTTTATTTGCCCAGCAGCCACCTTCCTGCTGAATTTCTTTAGAAATTTCAAGGTGTTTGACGGCAGCATTTCATGCTCTATTAATGGTAACATAATCCAATTTTATCATCTCCTGAATGTTTGATAAGCAAACAAACTTTCTACACCAGGTTATGCTGGGTGTGGACCCGATTCGCTGTGCGTCACTTTCAAGAGATTCAAAGGTCGCGTCGCAGTAGCTTTCTCAACTATAGTCTCATCGTCTGGAGCACTGCTGTAACACTTACTCTTACCGTATACTTGGTGGACAGACTTGTACCATTTTCCAGTACCTCAGACAAAACTTTACCCATGCTACCAGCTGTGGGAGTTGTCTCCTGCTGGATCTAAAGTATATTTTTTCAGCTTTCATATCTGCCATTAAAGTATGTTGGGTTGGTCGGGAATGCTTTATTTTCAATCTTCAATAAATAAATATCTTTCAGAGCCCATCCAGATTCTAAGCCGGCTCAACCGTCTAATGCCGCCACATGAAATCAAATAATTGTCCTTAAATTTGTTGAAAGTTTCTTTTCATTCTAAACTCCAATAAACTGTCGATAAGCAGTACCATTTGTAGTAGCATCTCATTGCCATATCAGCTGTAATCCGTTCTTCGAAAGGCTATTTTGATGTAATTCCATCCCATACTTGTAAATTACAGTCTGATATCAAACATTTATTTATATGCGTGTATCCCCAGGCGCACAAAACTGCTGATAAATGGAAATGCTTGGCTCCAAGGAATAACTATAATTGTTTCTTTGGTATACGATTTTTGATATCATTCAACGGCGTTTAAAAGTCGTCGCTTATTTTAGATCGAGTAGCTGAAGCTGCCAGTCGCCATAACGTTTAACTTGCTTCATAAATTAAATTCTCAGAATGAATAACTTCATATTTGGGTGCACCCTGCTGAGCATTCTCATGGCAGTTGGTGTGCAAGCTAAGGAGATTCGCGATTGCGACTTCTACGACACGGTCAACATAACGAGCGGCTTCAGGACAGACGATGGATCTTATCGCTACGAGAATCTCACAATTCCTGCGAGCCTGACTGGGGAGTACGACTATGTGATCGAACACGATGGGGACAAGAGCTCAGTAGCCAGGCACATACGAGGATGTGTGTGCAAGTTGAGGTCCTGCATTCGATTCTGTTGTCCGAAAGAAAAACGGATGAGAAGCTCCCAGTGTTCCAAGAAGGAGAACGGCCTGTCCTACAACATGACAATGGATATAATGCGACACGATGGTACATTGGTGTGGAAACATATTTTGAGAGAGATGTTTGTGCAGCAAGACCTTCCTCTACCATGCAATGATCATTATATACTGGACAGAAACTCTCCTGAAGATCAGTGGACTCTCTTTGAGGTTTGACAGATTATAAATCTGCTACACTTTAAATTTAATTGCTCAAATGTTATGTTTAGAATGGCACTCTCCTGCGACATTACGACACGAGGTACCTCTCCAAGCAGGAGTATTGCCTGCAGCCGCAAAAGATGAACAATGGGACATACCACAACTATACCATAGTGCCCCACAATTGCGTTATAGAGCCTTCCATGTCAATGGCTTACGGTAGGTCTTTCAAGAGCGTGTGTTGCCAAGAGAATGCTAACCCCATTTCGTTCTTCCAGTCAAGTCTACGTCTGTAATTTTCATGACCATTACTGTTGCCCTGTACCTGTGGCTGCCCCGATTCCGTTCGCTGCATGGAAAGTGCTGCAATCTGTATTTTATTTGCTTGGCAGCCACCTTCCTGCTGAATGTCTTCAGCATGTTTGACGTATTTAGCTACAGTTCGGTTTTGTGTCGCATCAATGGTAATACGAGTATATTTCATAAAATTCTGATTACTGGCGTTACACAGAAGTGGATTACATTTCCAGGATACGCTGGGTACTTTGCAGTGATGGCCACGTTCCTCTGGCTGTCGGTGATAAGCTTTGACGTGTGGAGACGATTCGCGCTGCGACGCTTCCACGAGTTCAATCGGAACAGACGGACTAGCTTTGTCAACTATAACATCATCGTTTGGAGCACCGCATCTCTACTGACTCTGGGCATATTACTGGTCGACGTTTTCGTCAAGTTCAATCCGCAGAATTCCATCTCACCTGGTGTGGGAGAGTATATGTGCTGGATGTATAGTATGTATCTGCTGTTAATCAGTTTTTCGAATCAAACGATGATGTTCTGTTTATTTGTACAGCGGATGGTTGGTCGGCCATGTACTATTTTTATTCGCCGCTGTCGGTTTTGATACTTTTCAATGGGATTATGTTTGCGTTGACAACCAAATACATTTATGTGGAAAACAAGGGGAATCAGCAAGTGCTGAACCAAAATGAAAGGCAGCGAGATTGCAGGAACCAAGCCAAGTGAGTTGGAGTGACGATTCCCAATTGCATTATTTATAATATTCCGAATTTGTAGCTACCGTGTGTATCTGCGTTTGTTTGTCATAATGGGCGGCACTTGGTTTCTGGAAATCATTGCGTTTGTCTGTTATATGGAGAGGGTTCTAGAGAACTTCATCACAGTTGCTGACATTGTCAACTGCAGTCAGGGCATCATTATATTCGTGGCCACATTCTGCAATTGGGACATACTCAAGTCAATCCGCAAGCGGTAAGATCTACAAGAGAAGAGTGAGAGTATTTTGATTACAAATTGTGTTCATTCCTGCAGCATCCAAGACAGGAACAGCACAAGTACGGACTTTACCAGCACCAGTCGTACTCAGGAGTCTGACAAATTGGGAAACACCGAAAGGAATTAATCGTATTTATATTATACATTTCAAGAAATTGTATTTTTTGGAAATATATTTTAATGTTTTGATTAAGGTTGTATATTTTTGATGCACACCCAGCGGAGGCTAGGGGCGGCCACTAACTAAATTAGTACTGGCATCGTTAGTACCGTAGTTCATAGAGTTGCTAACTAATATTAATGTATGTATGTAATAATTGAATTTCAATTTCAAGTATCAAAATTATACATATGCATGTATGTGTAGGTGTATATATGCGATGAGCAGAGCCTGAGCCCACTAGAACCTAGATCGTAGATTACTTAAATGACTTCAGTCGAAATTAGGACCGTTTGCAAAAGCGTTTCGTTGCACTAAGTAAGATGTACGTAAGTGTAGCTAACTAAATACTAAATACAGCACACGTTTTTTGTGTTTAGAACTGAACTAGATGCACGCAACCATTGCGAGTTGTACGAAAAAAATATGTTGCCAGAGCTATGGCTGCTCAGAGCGTCCCTTGGGGTGTGCGCTTCAGGTGAAACTCCACCATGTTGTCGAGGTCGCAGATATACGACTTGGACTTCTTAATATCCGAGTTGAGCACACGCAGATTGGAGGCATAGTCGGGTAGCTTGTTCAGGCTCTCCGTCATCTCCTTGGCCATCTTCTTGGCCATTTGGGCAAAGGTAAGGCGCGCCTTGCACAGACGCTTCAGTGGATTGAAGAGCTCGTGCATTTCCCGAAGCTCGCCATAGTCCAGGACCTGCCACTGGCCACTCTCCATGTTCCAGGTGAAGAGTATGCGACACTCGTACTGGCGATTGTGGAACATACAGTCTATGCGGCCAGTGCAATGCAGGCAGTTTGTCAGCGGTGCGTAGGGCTGATCCCGTGCCGAGAACTGCGCCATGAGCAGGCAGCTGACCGTCTGGCTGAGCGGGCAGACGCTTATCACCTCGTAGGCCCAGTCGTAGAACACATTGTAGATCTTGTGGTGCTTCTGGCACAGCAAACTAATCACATAATACGTGAATGTCTCCAGATCGAACGAGTGTTGAGTGATTACCACACTGCTGCAGCGCAGGCGCTGATACGAGGCGTGCGAAATCATTTGCATTTCCGAATAGCACGAGCCATGCACTTCCATGGGCAGCGATGTGTGATATCCCGGCGATATGCAGTCATCTAAAAACATTCTTTGTGTTATCATTTACATTTCCATTGCTGTTGTTCTTTCTTACCCTCCTCGCTGGTGATGACCGAGGTGGCATCATCCTCCTCCACATAGCGGCGCCTCAGTTTCTTGGTGCACACCGGCTTCTCCGGCATCACACCGCCCTGCACTGGCATCTCCACAATGCGTGGCTCATCGCGTCGGGGCGACAGAAAGGACAGGCCAGCATTGGGCGACATAGAGCCGCCAATCTCAAACCGCTTAGCCATGGACACCTGTAGCGGGGAGAGTGCGCCCAAGGGTCCCACAGGCTTGTAGCTGAGCATCTGCTGTGTGGCCTGCGAGAGCGGCGGCGACTTCTGGTTGTAGATTTGAGCGGCCACAGCAGCCACAGCAGAGTTGGCTGCGCGGCTGGGCGAGCGCATTAGATTCGAGCTAGATGGCGGCGAGCGAAAGCCCAGATGTGGTGGCGTTTGTGATGGATGTGCTGGATGTGGCGAAGAGGACGGCGAGGCGCATGGCGAGTTATGAAAGAAGTGCGCCGTGGGTGAAAAGCGATGAAAACTGCGGGCCGTAGAGCTACCCGCGGAGGAACTAAAATTTGGAGCCGAGGCGCGACCAGCCGAACGCACTTTAGTGAATGGGATGATATTCTCCACGTTGTCCTCGGAAAACTCGTACTTCTTGTCAGCCAGTCGACGCTTGCGAAACGTCGAGATCTTCTCGCACTTCTCATTGTCCTCGGAAAACTCATAGGCGTTCGATTTGTCCGTCATGGAGGTGGAACTGGGCGTACTCTAAACGGAGGAGAGCAACAAAACTGTCAGATTTCGACACGTACATTAGAAAATCACCATGGCAATTACCTGCACGTCTATGGTGGTGATGCCATTGCGATAGGACTTGGTGACTATCCGCTGATTGCGTTTGCGTGATTGTCCAGCCTCCCCGCTGACCGGGCTCTGCTGCTTGGCAACGGGCAACGTGGTATCCGGCAGCGTCATGCTGGACCCCATCGCAGCACTGCAGTTTGGTGTGAAGACGAGCTTCTCATAGGATCGTGGCGAGCAGCAAATGCTGTTGGCCTGCACTTCATTGTTATTATTATTATTACTATTGCTATTGTTGGATTGGCCTGTGCGCTGGGTCTGATCCGATTCGATATCACTAAAGTCAGCTATGATGCGCGCCACAACACTCTGCTCGTTGCCGGACTCAGCCTCCGAGCCTGAGCCTGTAAAGACCGCAGAGGTGCGATCCTCCTCGCTGGCCACCAAAGTGCGGGGCAGGAGGAAGCACTGGGGCTGCGACAGTGGCAGGGACTGCTGGGGATAGGGCAGGACGAGGCTTTGCTGAGTTAAGTAGCTGCTGGTGGACACGGCCGGCGTGTCAACATCAATGCGGAGCATGTGCATAAATCCATTCGAAATGATCAGAATGCGCTCGGGGCAAAGCAGATTGATTTTTGGCTGGAATCCGGGATCCGTTTCAGTCGAGGAATACTTGGTATGCACAGTCAAATGGCAATTCAGGCAGTGCGCGTTGTAGAAGGAATCTGCAAAAGGAATTGTGTACTCTCCAGTATGATTGATTGATTGATTGAATGCACATACATGGACCGTCATCGTTCAGTTTTTTGCACTCCAAACAACCAAGTTTAGGAACTTTTACATATGTGATATAGCTATCTTCGCTCTCCTCCGTGGCAGCGCCATGCACAACCAAGATTTGTTTCCCAGCATTCTTCCACTGCGTCATGCTGACAGTCTTAATGTTGTCCACCACATGATCATCAAAGAGGCGTCGCGTAAAGAAGTAACGCAGCTTTTTGTATGGCTGAAAGATCCAGAAGTAGAGACTGCAAAGCAGAAGAGTATTTTTTCAGTAATTGATGGATGTTTAGCAGCTGGGTGGCGACACTTACGTATACTTGTAGCCCATGTTGAAGGAGTAGTGGTTGAGCGTGGAGCTGTCGTTACAGACGACCCGATGGCTGAGCATGTACTGGCCGCAGGCAGTCAATCCCATGAATATGTGTCTGCAAGTATTTGCTGAGCTACAGAAGCAAACGACATATAATAATGATGGGAACTGCTTACCCCTCCATGACATTGCTTGCTATAACGTCCTTGAGATACAATTTTAATCTATTTGGCACCCGGTCGTATGGAAGTTGTTGCTTTTGGCCAACACGTGATGTGCCCGAGAAGAATCCAGAACGCTGCGGATGTCGAAATACAGTTAGAAAAATGTCGATGTGTTTTTGGGGGGTGGTGTCCAATGTACATTCCTACTCACCTCTCTGTCAAACAGCATTTGCGCCAGGTTTCGCGTTCGCGTGTTGAGCGATGGCGAGGGTGTCGGCTCCTCTGACGTCTCATCGGAGCTGTCCACCGTGGACATATCATCGTCATCCGAAGATACACCGGACAATGACTCGACATAATGTTGATAATCAGTCTCCATTGCCTCCCCAAACTCTCAAAATCAGACTTAATTTATTCTTCCTTTCCGTCTAGCACTACGACACCGACAGAAAAACGGCACCGTTCTGGGCCCGTGTTGCGAAAACTGTCAGCCCTACAGGCCCCCCTAACGCCTCACAAAACAAAGGAAGTCACGACTCTGGCACATATCGTCATTCGATGTGTTCGATCCTTTTTTGTTATGAATTAATTAAGGAATTGAAAAAATAACTTAACAAAATTTGTTGTGTTGGTTTGCGGCAGTGTGACCTGCTGTGTGAACCGCGGACTTATCGATCAAATATACCTTATCATTTTAAAAATATACCGCAAATATACTGCAATCTTAAATCATATTCCTCGATGTTAATGTTCTATTTGATATTACTAGCTTGCAAAGACTATTAACACTGAAACAATAATTTAATCCGTTTGAAAAATCATATGGCTTATTTAAATACAACTTTATATTGGATTGTATACTTTATGACCTTATATATTTTACAAATTTGTATTTGAATTTTTCAATATAATCACCCCGTCTGGAAGCAAGGGAGCTTTGTGCTCAGTATGTAACATGTAGAGACACATGACAATTTTTGAAAAGTAGCGCGCGAGACAAACAAGGAAAAGAAATTTTACTGTTTTTCAAAAAATTGCACAAAGGGAACATAAGGAAATATTATAATAAGTTCGGAGTGGTTTGGCAGTTATTCTATCCTTACAACATAATTGGGGCTAAAGTCCGGTTCATACACTGTAATTAAGAAGAAAGAAAGGAACTTTTGCTAAGGAATAGCTGATAATGATGTACAAATCACCGATTCTTTAATTTTATTTATTCACTTTTATTTCTATATACTATATACTTTCTACAGTCAAATATTAACATATATTTTATACTTAGTTGTTTATTTTCATTTTCATTTTCGTCCTCATGGTATGGTTCATATAAACTGGTTCCGATTGCAATCGACTGGCTCCTTGCGAAAATTGTGCGGCAGAATTCAAATTTGAGTTTCAAAACCTTGATGCATATTTGGATATAAATCTTCTTAATTATTTTATAAATTTAAATTGTTGGATACTTTTTCCTTGACTAGAGTGTATTGTGACGACTTTCCAATGATATTTGCTGATTCAACCAATTCCTATAAATGGATTTATAGTCCCATAAGCCATCCCATAGAACACTCCAGAGCTGACCCAAAATTGAAATAATCTAGAAACTGGCAACGTGACCGAATGTTCATTGACCCCATCGGGAATGGGGGTCAACATGTTTGCGGAAGCCGCTCGAGTTGGCGGTGCAGCCAAGCCGGGTTCAGTGCGCCGTCCAAATACTGGATAAAGTGCAGCACAAAAAACTTGGAAAACTTTATAAA